TTCCGAATATCCGAAATCCAAAATACGGACAACCAACCCGTTAAACAGCGATTTTGTATGTCGGGCCTTTGACGGTTCGGGATTTTTGCTGGCGGGATTTCGGATGTAGGGATTTCAGATGTCGGGATTTTGGATGTCGGGGTTTTGGATGTCGGGATTCCCGCGGTCGCAATCTTTACTTGGCGGGATTTTCGATGTCGGCATTTTAGCTTTCGGGACGCGGTTGTCGGTATTTTGGCCATCGTAGTTTTGGCCCCTCGGGATTTTCCCTGTCGGGGTTTTGACTGTCGGTTTTTGGCTGTCGGTATTTAGGCTGTCAAGGTTTTGACCTGTCGGGATTTTGCCTATCGAGGTTTCGGTTGTCGGGATTGCGAATCTCCGGAGTCCGAATATCAGGATTTTCCCTGTCAGCATTTTTGCTGTCGGTATTTTGCTCTTTCCGGATTTTGACCTGGCGGGATATTGGATGTCGGGATTTTTCGTGTCGGGCTTCTCTGTCGGGATTGCGACATGTCGGGATTTTGGCCAGGATTTTTCGTAAGCCCCTTAACCCGCCAATCGACACTAAAAACTCAACCAAAAACCAAGCTCAGATCCACGAATTCCTTCGAAACTTCAAAAGGCCGGTGCGCCAGAGCTCTGCGCTAAATATGGGCATTTTATAGTCGACTTTTATCGGTCGATGGGCCAGTGAGAGTGCGTGTGAATCATTTCCGCAGCTGTTGAACCCCTGGATTCTCACCAAAAACAGCTATGCTGGGCCTTGGTGTCCAAAAAATTCGATATCCGATCGAATGAACCGATCTGGGATCCCATTCCCGCGCTCACCCCTATTGCTACCAATTCCGCTGGTATTCCGGTCTGCCACCCAGCGCGCTTGGGCGTACCCTGTCATTAGCTTGCCCCGCGCTCCGCATATGCTAATCACGATCACTGCTATATTGATGCCGTTCCTGTTGTGGAAAGTGGGGGGTTTGGCTCGGACATAGGCTTAACCCTAGGCTTGGGCTTAGGCTTGGGTTTGGGCTTAGGCTTCGTCGTAGGCTTAGGCTTAGCTTAGGCTTAGCTTAGGCTTAGCTGAGGCTTAGCTTAGGCTTAGCTTAGGCTTAGCTTAGGCTTAGCTTAGGCTTAGCTTAGGCTTAGCTTAGGCTTAGCTTAGGCTTAGCTTAGGCTTAGCTTAGGCTTATTTTAGGCTTAGCTTAGGCTTAGCTGATTTTTTTAAACCATCCATTTCAGCTAATCGGCAAGGGCAAACGGAAGCTCGGCGACCGCCACAAGAAGATCAACGCCATCGGCGAGGAGGTCGCCAGGGTGGAAAGGTACCTGCTAAAATTTAAAATTTCTACTCGTGATTTAGCGAAGCCAATGCGGTGATCAACGACATTCATCAGTTGCAAGAGTCCCCGGCCCTACAGAACGAGAATGGTCTTTCGGAGCCAAAAGCTCAAGCCGAGGTGAGCACGAGTTTCTGAATCTCGTTTCTAAACCTAACAATAAGCCAAACTTAACCCACTTTTTTCAGGCCCTCCGTCAACTCAAAGATCAGCTAAAACCCACTGCAGAACGAGCTAAAGCTGTCCAGGGTGAATGCAAGGCGCTGATCAAGTCGGCTGCGCCGGAAGCTGACACCAAGCAGCTCGTACGTTGAGCAACAACTTTTCTAAATTTCCCGCTTTTAGAGCCAAATCCTACAAGACGTCTCAAAAGCCCTTGGCGAAGTCGATGCCCAGATTGGCGCCCGACAGCTCGCTGTTGATGCTGCCGTGCAGCAGATGGGTAGCTACAACGATGCGCAGAGGGTAAGCTGGGTCGAAATGAAGCCTAATTAAGCCTAACTAAGCCTAAAATAAGCCTAAGCTAAGCCTGAGCTAAGCCTAAGCTAAACCTGTTTTGTAGGACCTCCAAAACTGGCTCGAAGAAACCGAGGAGCTAGTCGACAACCAGAAGCTCCCCTCAGCCGATGCTAAAGTCGCTCGCGCTCAGCTCCAGAGCTATGATGTCATCCTGAAGCACATCGAGGACAAGCAGGCCTCAGTTGATGGCTTCCAGCAGATGATCGGCAAGCTGGCCGCCCTCACTTCTGATGCTGACGAGAAACGGGCTTTGTCGGCGAAGGCTGACGAGGTAAGGGAGCGACTTCACCTACTTATCTTTTTTTCAGATCACCGGTCGATATGAGGAACTGCTGGATGGTGCGCAACGCGGCCAAGCACGTCTACGAGATGCTGTAGATCTGGCAGAGAAGCTGGGGAAGGAGCTCGGGCCGTTCGAGCAGTGGATAGGGAGCACCGAGAAGCGGTAAGGGGATGGAAATCGGCTAGCTTGAACCTAAGCCTACGCGTAAGACTAAGTCTAAGCCCAAATCTAAGCTTAAGCCGAAGCCTAAGCCTAAGCTGTCTAAGATAAGCCTAAGCTAAGTCTGAAACCCAAGCCTAAGCCTAAGCATAAACTAAACGTAACCTTGAACCGAAGCCTGGGCTTAAGCCCAAGCCTAATACGGATAAATCTAAGCCCACGCCTAAGCCTAAGCCTAAGCCTAAGCCCAAACTTAAGTCTAAGCCTAAGCCCAAGCCTAACCCTCTCTTCTTTCAGCATCTCCCAACTCGGTAAACTTCCCACAGACACCGAACGTCTCGTGGCCCAAGTCCGAGACGTTGAGGCTATCCAGGATGACATCGACGGCAAGATCGAAGCAGTTCAGAAGCTCTGCCAGGTTTGCTACCAGTAGATGGCCAATTCAACCTACTTCAGCTCGGTCCCCGCCTCGCCGCCCTCGTCAGTGTCGAAGAAGCTGGGGCGCTTGAGGCCCAACTTACAGCCGCTACGGCCAAGCATGGTCAGCTAGCCGATAGGTTTGAAAAGACTCCTAGCGAAGTCGAGCGCTTTCAGAACTGAACAATGTCGAATCGGGCTCGAGGCGATGGCCGAGCAGGTGTCGAACTTTGAGCAGGACGTCGAAGCGTTGGCAGAGTGGCTGACAGCTATCGAGCAGGATATGGCTGATGTTGAGGAGCTGCCGATCAATCCTGACGAGTTGTTGGAGCAGACAAATTTGCTATCGGTATGTATTTTTTTATCGGCTTTGTTAGCTAAGCCTAAGCCTAAGCTAAGCCGAATTTTTCAGGAACTCGTCGAAAACGTCACTGAAAAAGACGCGCTCGTCTCCAGCGTGTGCCAGGTTGGGAAGGAGTTATGCCGAGAAGCGGCCGCGGAAGATGCTCTGGCACTGCAAGCCCACGTCGAGAAGCTAAAACACCGGTAAGGGGGCTTGAAGGTCTAGGCCTAAGCCTCGGTCAAGCCAAGCCTAAGCCTTAGCCTAAACCTCAACTTCAGATACATCCGAGTGGCTGGTTGTGCTGATGAAAAGCTGGCCCTGCTCACCCGAGCCATCCCACTGTCCGATCAATTCCATGATGGATACGACGGCGTCATGGCTTGGGTTGAAGCTGTCGAAGCCGATCTACACCAAGCTGACGGCTTCGACATTGACACGCAGCAGCAGTTGATCCACTCTTTGGAGATTGACATTCAGGAGTGGAGACCTGAGGTGTGGTTTAGCTAAATATAAAGCGGAGAGAGTTAAGCTAACAAGGGAAGTGCACGACCGGCCCACGAGAAATCGACACGAGACATAGTGGATCTGATAGAATCGGACACGGGGATTCCGAATCTGTAATCAGAATTTGCTAAATAAAACGGAGAAAAAAGTTATGAAGCATCAAAGTTGGCCAAATCGCCCAAAATCGGACTTTTATGGGCCTGTAAAGGCCTAGGGAATGGAAATTTGCCACAACCCATTAGTGCATCTTGTTCAGCAGAAAAAGCGCTTTTGAATGAGCTATCTTACTTCAAGTTTACGATGATTTCGCGAAAATCTCTTCTATGAACTTGACAGGCCATACCCTTGCCCGTGAATCCAAAAAACCTTTTTTCAGTGAATTGTTTGCAAATGCTACTTATTACAGCTCATTCGAAAGCGCTTTTTCTGCTGAACAAGCTGCACTAATTCTTTTCTCCTCAATTCCGTTCCACCGGTTTTTACGGGCCCTTAAAGGTACGGTTTTTGGCGATTTGGCCAACTTTGAAGCTTCATAACTTTTTTCTCCGTTTTATTTAGCAAATTCTGATTACAGATTCGGAATCCCCGTATCCGATTCTATCAGATCCACTATGTCTCGTGTCGATTTCTCGTGGGCCGGTCGTGCACTTCCCTTGTAAGCTAACTAAGCCCGGGCAAGGTCGAGAACAAGCTAATTTAAGCGTAAGCTAAATCTAAGCATAAGCTAAGCCTAAGTTTAAGCCCAAGCTTAAGCCTGACATAACCTAAGCGTAAGTTAAGCAAAGTTTGAGCTTCTGAAGCCCAAGCATAATCAGAAGCGTGCCTGAAGCTCAAGCCTAAGCCTAAGCCTAAACCCTAGCCAGGCCTAAGCCTCGGTGAAGAGAACGCTATGCTGCACCACCTGAATCACACTTTACGACCCAAGTTTGATACGACCGCTCATAGCTCTGCTTTGCCACTTCATATCGATTCTATCCCCTGACCACCTTGAAAACATTGTAGGTCGACGCCCTCGTCGCCGCCAGCTCCCAACTACAACAGCTCGCCGGACCACCCCGCGCCGACGAACTCTACGCACACACCGCCGAGATGCAAAAGCGCGTCAACCAGATTGCCGACCAGGTCAATCGACGTGCCGAACGGCTCGAACTCGCTGACCGGGCAACCCGAGGAGTAGTAGATGAACTGGACTACGCTTTGGAGTGGTTCAACGACGCCAAGGAGCGCGTGATGCATGCCGAGCCACTGGCTATTGATCCGACATACTTGAATGTGAGTAGGGTCTGGATTCAGAAGACGTACGTTTAGACGCAACTCCGGCATCAGAAGGCGTTGAACGAGGACTTGCTGGACCAGCAGGCAAAGTTGAGGAACACGGCGATCGACTGCAGGAAGGTGGCCAGGCAACTTGGGTCTGATGGGGGACAGGACGCGCTGTTACTTGAGAAGGTAGGAGGCGCTCGAACTCTCTCTCGCGCTCTCTCGCTCTCTCCCCCTCTCTTTATATATATCTCTCTTTACCCCAAGTTTTCAGGCGGAAGTAGCCATGCAGCTGAGCGACGACGTCTCCCAACTCTGCAAGGAAAGAACAGAAATTCTTGGCCAAGTAAGTCTCCCTGAACTCCTTCAACGTCTCGTTTAGACGCTCGCCCACGTCGATGAGATCGGCCACTCGTTCGAGGACATGAACCGATGGCTCGACGAGGTCGAGCGAGATCTAGCTGGTCAGCCATCCGTCACGACAGCTACTCCTTCGCATGAGTTGGCCAAGCAGCAGCAGCACAACTTGGTGAGTTGGAGACGGAAAGAGAGAGAGAGAGAGAACGAGAACGAGGTCCAATAATTCCAGGAGCTCTCCGCCGTCATCGCCGCCCAAACCCCTCTCGTCGAGCGCTTCGAGTACAACGTCAACTCCCTTGCCGAACTCGTCGGCCCCGCCGATGTCCAAGCTCTGCGCCAAATCTACGATCAAATTGTTGGCCGCTACAATGACGTGAAAAACCAAGTGAAATCGAGAGGAGAAGCCATTGACAGTATCTTGGATGCGACAGAGGGTACTTTAAGATTTCTTATACCCATTTAATTCAAAATTTAGCATTCGGTGATCGTCTGGATGTCTTCTTGGCGACGCTGGAAGGAGCAGCAGAATCGCTACGTCAGCCAGCCGCTGTGTCGGCAGACCCTGGATTGCTCCAGAACCGCATTGCCGAGAATGAGGCGCTTTTGGACTCGTTGAGGGAGAAGGTATGGGAGCTCGAGCCTAAGCCAAAGTCTAAGCCTAAAGCCGAGTGTAAGCCAAGCATAAGTAAGGTACGCGCTAGCTAAGCCTATACCTAGGCTTAGGCCTATACCTAAGCTAAATCTAAGCCTAGCCGAAGCACAAACCTTCGATTAAGCTAAGCTTAAGCTAGACCTGGGGCTAAGTTATACTTAAGCCGAACCTAAGTCGAGCTTAAGCCTAAGCCTAAGCCTAGGCCTGTCTAAGCTTAAGGCTAAGCCCAAGCGGAAGCTAAACTTAAGCCTGACCTAAGCCTAAACTTAAGTTAGACTTAATTCTAAGCCTACGCTTAAGCTCGACCTATATGCAAGCTTAAGCCAAGCCGAAGCTAAGCCTAAGCCTAAGCCCAAACTAATTATACCTAAGTCTAAGCCTAAGCTAGCCCAACTTTTCCAGGAAGCCGCCCTCGACGCGATGAAGGAGCGAGCAAACGAGCTTCTCGCCAGGGCACAGCCAGGCGATGCTGCAGCTTCAGAAGTGGCCGCCAAGATCCAGGCCCTGGAGCAGTTGTGGGGCGAAATCGGAAGAGGTGCCGAGATGCGCGGCGCGTTCCCTGAACGACGCGCTCGCAAAGGCGCACCAATTCTGGGCCGAGCTCGACGATTGTCAGAAGGCCATCGACGACTTGAAGGTGGGTTTTTGGGGTTTAGAAGGACTGAAAATAGTACTGTACTGTACTACTGTAGGGATTGAGGTACTGTAGTCTTTTAGTATTACGTTACGATATCAAAATTACCGTAAAAAATATAAAAAATAGTGGAAAGGTATCGGTTTACAACATGTAATGAAGACAGCGTCGCTAAAGATAATACTAAATTTTACTATTTTACGGGTAAATCCTACGTTTTTTTAAAAATCTATCCAATTACGACACTTAATTCCAATTACGGTATATCTGTTTACGACATGTAAATGGTTTATAAAAAAGTAAATTCTTCAATTACGTCATCAAATTTGGGTTATTTTGAAATGTCGAAATTTGATACTGTCGAAAGTTCGGAATTTCGAAATTTACATAGGCAAATCTCGCGCAAAAAAAGCCAAATCCTATGCAAAAAATGATGTCGATATTACGATTTTCGACGTTTTAGCGGCAATATGAAATTTTCGATTTAGAAAATTTCGGCGTTATGAATTTCGATATTACAAATTTAAAAATTGAGTTTTTCGACATTGGAAATTTGGGCATTCTGAAATTTCGAGATTCTGAATCTTGAATTTAGGCATTTCGAAATTATCACGACAAATCTAAAATTCTAGGCCCGCCTCGAGACCCTGGAACCAGCCATCGGGCAACCAGAACGACTACGCGAGCAGCAACAGGGCCTCACCGATATCGATCGGGCAGTGAGAGACACAAGGCCCCGCATCGACAGCCTTCGGTATGTACTGTGTTCTGGGGGATAGCATGCGTGCCTCTGACCCGCACGACCCGGGTTCGACCCCCGGCGCAGGCACCTGCTGTTGCCATTGCCTTCAGATGGTGACTTCCTTGAGACCTGCTACAGTAACTGGCCCCTTGTTTGACAGTCTGCCCAGCTATTGGGATGGATTGATAGAATTGGGGTCACATTTTAGGGTTTTGTTGATTTTTAAACCGCGCTGGTTCTAAAAAAAATACTGTAACTCGGTCGGTTTAGCTCCGATCACTATGACATTTTTGCCGTAGATGCCAGAGGCTACAAACTACACACAGAAAAAATTTCAGGGTTAAAGATTCGAAAATTCAAAAGTTATTTAAGAAAAACATTTTCACTCTTATATTTTACCGCTAACCAAATACCGGAATTTCGTTGCTTTGCGTCCGATTTTTATGAAAATTTTACAGAGATTTCCCAAGACTATGAACTACATGCAAACAAAATTTTAAATCTTCATTTTTCTAGGATAAAAAGTTATGACGAAAAACTAATTTTACTTGAATTTGCACCAATCTTCTTGATTTTTTAGAAATTGAATTCTAGATAGTTTTTGGGGCAAGCTAGCAAATACCATCGGGAAGCCACAATTCCTATTTTTAGACATGCCGAAGCCCAACTTTTGGCCATCATCCCCGAGGAGGAGCAGATGGTCGTTGGGCAGCAGGTTGAGATGGTGGAAGCGGGTCTTGGGACCATTACAAAGGTATCGAAATAAGTTGAATCATTTTAATAAACCTGACGGTAATTAATAATTGTTTTAACATAATTTAGCTGTTCTCCGACAAGAGCCTCCATCTCGGCAAGGCCATGGAGGAGGCCATGCAGTTCCACGACGACCTGTCGGCGCTGCACGAGTTTTTGGAGGCTGCCGAGCAGGTATAGATGACTCTCTCTCACTCTCTCTCTTTCTCTTTCTCTGGCTCTCTCCGTCTCTCTCGCCGTCTCTCTCGCCCTCGCTCTCCAAAACGTCTTTTTTAGCGCCTCCACTCCATGGGCCCAGCCGAAAACGTGGCCGTCGAGAAGATCCAACCCAAGCTCGAGGAGCTGCAGCTTTTTCCGGTGAGCATGAGGTGGTAGCGGCTCATAAAAACTGTCTTTGCAGAGCCGAACTCGACGATCACGCCGTGCTGAAGGAAGAAGTCAACCAGAAGGCACACGGGTTGACGATAGGACGTCCTGCGCATCAAACTGCCGCAGTGAGAGTGCCGATAGCCGGTAAGTTTCTCTCCCTCTCGCCCTCTCGCTCTCGCTCTCTCTCTCTCAGTCTCTCTCTCTCTCTCTCTCTCTCTCTCTACCTCCCCATTCCAGAACTCAACGGCCGATGGTCCAAACTCTACGGCGACATTGCCGACCGTGAGCACAAGATCGAGAGGGCCATGCTCGAGATGGGACGCCTTGGCGAAGCCGTCGCCCAGCTGACCGCATGGATCGAAAAGACCCGGTCCACCGTCCACGACATCGCCGCCCAACCATCCACCAACCTCCGCGCCGTCGAGATCGCGCAGTGCAAGCTAGCCGTCGTCAACAATGATGTTCATGCTCATGAGCCGAGCATCAACTCCATCAATGCCACCGCCAACAAGCTGAGGGCCCAGGGCGGAGACGCTACAACCACCAAACGTGTCGAGGAGATGAACGAAAAGTGGGCCGGGCTTGGAAATGAGCTGAGCGAGCTGTCGGCACGCCTTGAGGGGGCCAAGGGAGCCGCAGAGGATATTGGGGGCGAGATGGAGCGATGGTTGGCCTATGTCGAGCATGTCGAGTCTCAGCTGGAGACGACAAGACCGACAGGGGGACTTCCGGAAACGGCTCGACAACAGCTGGACGACTTCTTGGGGTTGAAACGGGAGGTGAGTACTTGTTGAAATTGTTGGGCTATGCCTAAGCTCAGCCTAAGCTAAGCCTAACCCTAAGCAATTTAGGTCGACCGCAACACCTCCCCCCTCGAAGCCCACGTGGCCATCACCGAGGAGTACCTCGCTGAGCACCCCGAAGATGAGGGATCGTGGATTGGGAAGAGTGCCCATACACTGCGCCATAAATGGAATCGATGCCGGGATCTTCTATCGGATCGGGAGAAGAAGCTGGGGCTCGCCTTGGAGGAGGCCATCGCCCTCGATCACCAGATGAACGATACGGCCCACTGGGTGTCTGGGATCGAGCAGATGCTGGCTGGTAATTTATTAAATAATTCTAGAACAAACTAAAAAAAAGAGAAGAATCTAAAATTTAAATTTGGGCAACAAAACTTATTTTTTGTATTTTTTAGGCAAAATTTGCCACGTTTTTACGCTTAAAAAACAGGAGTACAGCCCAAAAACCTGTTTTTAGAGCTCGCCCCCGTTGGACGTCTACCCGAGGTCCTCGAAAAGCAAAAAGCTGAGCAGCAACAGATGGCGGAGCAAGTGGCCGACAAGTCAGTTGAATTTGGGTTGAGCATGAACTCAAAAAATTCCAGAAAAACCGAGATGACCGAGATGCAAGCGACGGGCACGCGGATGCAGTACTACTGCGAGAAGAAGGACGCGATTCCGATCAAGAACGGGCTCGTCTCGTTGAGGCATCGCTTTGAGAAGGTTGCGCAGAAGGTTGCTGAACGTGGAAAGGTAAGAGGATTTAAGGGGAGGGTGCTGTTCGTCTTTCAAGAGCTTTTGAACGCTGTAAAAATCATTCCGAGCCGATACTATTGACGGGAGTTATGGGCCTTGACGATTTTTTCAGCAACTCGAGCACGCGCAAGGGGAGACGGACTCATGGCTGGAGAGCGCGAAGGATCTCGAGTTCTGGATGGCCGAGATGGGGATCAGACTCGACGAGGAGGCACCCGGAAGTGCTAACCATCAGAAGCTGCTGGAATGGAGGGACGAGGCAAAGGTAAAGGTCTTCTCTCGCGCGCTCTCTCTCTCTCTCGCTCTTTCTCTCTCTCTCTCGCACTCTCATTCTCGCTCTCTCTCTCCCCCGCTCTCTCGCACTCTCATTCTCGCTTTCTCTCGCTCCCTCTCCCTATCTCTCTTTCTCTCTCTCTTTCTCTCTCTCTGTCTCTCTCTCTGTCTCTCTCACCGCCTCTCATGCCCTTTTTCAGGAAGCCCAAGCCGAACTCACCGCCAAACGCCCAGAATACGAAGCGGTACGCAGAAGAGGCCAATCAGTCTGCGACCACGCCCCCAAGGCTGAACGCCGCGAACTTGAAGGGCGATCCGAGGGCCTGAAGAAGGAGTGGGAGCGGCTCGACAAGATGTCTAAGGAACGTCTTCGAAAGGCCGAAGAAGCCGTGCTTGAGAGCGGAGCCTTCGAGGACGCCATCGCCGACCTGGAGGCGTGGTGCGATGCTGAACTCCTTGATGCCGAGACGGACTTGGCTATGGATGTAGGGATTTTTTGAAGAACGTAACAACTTCTGTTTTAGGGCGCGAAGGTGCACGGCGACGTGGAGACGGTCAGGGGGCTGCAGGAGAGAGATGCAAAGCGAGGCGAAGAGAGAACGGTGAAGAAGGGACAAGTCGAGAGGCTGCTCAAGAAGGCTGACGAGCTCGTGCAGAGGGGAGTGGCTGAGGGAGAAGTCGTGCTTGAAGCCAAGCACAATCTGCAGGACAAGTGGAGCGCGGTAAGTCGACGTGGTTAGAGGAAGCAAGTCTGTGAAGCCAGCTTAACTACGCTCAGTGGAAACATCCGGGAAAATTTCGTTTCAAAATCAACCTTCTCAAACCCTCAAGCTCACCTCGGGCTGCTAGAAGGCTTTTTCCAGAACAGTTTTTTGCGCTGATTCCGAATCTGCAACTAATTTTTGGCAAAAACTTTGATTCTCGAAATAAAATTGGTTTTTCGCAGTTTTCTGGAGAATTCCATAAATTCGCTTCTCAAAAATTAGGCTTCTCAAGCTTCTGAAGCACACTCTAACTCGAGTGAAGCTTTTCTAAATCAGTTTTTTGCGCGGTTTCTGAATCTGCATTTATTTTTCACTGAAAATAAACTTTGAAAATGTAGCTCATTTTTGTAGATGTTCAGTGAAATCCGCCAAAAATTGCCAGTTTTTTTGCATAAAACCCGGTTTAACTCGAAAAATATAACCCGTATCAAAAAGCGGTATGCAGATTCGAAATCAGCGCCTAAAAATCTGGTCTAGAAACTTGATTTCAGGGGCAATAAATCAATCCAAAATTTCCAGATCGAAGCCGCCGCGGACGCGCGCGCGGAAGCGCTGCGGAAGGCGATGGAACAAGCCGAAGACTTTGACGCGAAGGCCCATGGGCTGTTGGCTTGGATGGACGGGCTGGACGACAGGTTGAAGGCCGCCGGAAAGGAGCCCAACCTCGACAAGGCCATCCCCGCCGCGCAGGCCGTGCTCGACGAGTTGAAGGTGGGCAGCGTCTTCAAGAAGGTCATCCGTATTTAGGCAGAGGAGGCCAGGAAAGAGGTCGTGCTCGCTCGAGGTCAAGACATTCTCCAGAAAGCGCATCCGAATGCCGAGCAGCCGATGCGGCATTGGAATCGACTGCTGGCGGCTAGGTGGAAGGTAGATGATGTTTTGGTTGTACTGCTTGGGGTCGAGGGTTGTTACCGAAGGCAGAAATTATTTGGCTAATTGTTATTAAGCGCGTATAAACGATAATTTTCCGCTTTCAGGAAGTCGAAGATCAAGCCCTCGAAAAAGTGGCCGACCTCAAGGAGCAGCGCCAGAAGAGCGAGGAGCGTGAGAAGGCCATCAAGGTAAGCCTAAGCGAAGCCGAAGCCTAAGCTTAAGCCTAAGCGTAAGCCTAAACCGTGCCCTTCAGGAGCTGCTCACCTTCGTCACCAAGAAGCGCGGCGAGCTGGGCGACATGATCGCGGCGCCGACGCCTGAAGATTTGGATACGGTAGGTGGAGCACAATTTAAAATTTACTAGATTCGTAAATTAGCGATTTTTAATAAGTTTAAAGCTCTTAAATTTTCCCTTAATTCACGATTTAAACCAATTAAACGAATTCAGGAGGACGCGCTGCAGCTAGTAAGTTTCCTCCCCCTAAAAGTTGCCCTTTATTTGTCCGCCAAAGATTCCTTCTGTTGCCGTTTTCATTTTAAACGGTGTACTGCCAGGGCACGCGACGCGTTGCCTCGGTTGAACCCCTTGAAGTCGTTGTACTTCCCGCTGTGCCTAAAAAATGGTATTTCGCGAAAATTCCTGGAATTTCAGGTAGACCGAATGCTGCAAGACTACGAGCTGCTCGACTTTGAGCTGCGAGAGAAGCAGCCGGATGTCGAGGAGACGATCCAAGGCGGCCAGAAGGATAAGTAGGTTTATTTGGATCGTAGCGTAGCGTACAGCAGCGTAACGTAGTCTAACGTAGCGTAACGTACTGGAGTGCAGGACAAAGTAACGTAGCTTAGCGTAGCGTACAACGGTAGCCTAGCCTACTAGCCAAGCGTAGTGTGGTGTACCGTAACGCTCCGTAGCGTACCGTACCGTCTAGCAGCGCAGCGTATTACCGTATCGTAGTGCAGAGTGTCCTAACGGAGCTTAGCGTACAGCGTGGGAGCGTCTGGTATCGTATGGTGCCGTAGCGTATCGTCGTTTTTGATGTCGCGGTGTATTGTGGTGTAACGCACTGCGGCGTGGCGTATCGTAACGCATAGCATAAGCTTCCGTAGCATAATTCACTAGATACCTTAGGCTGGCGTATCGTATCGTATCAAACCGTAGCTAAGCTAGAGCCTACCGTATGCATCCAACCTTAGCTACGTAGCGTAACTTCGGTTTTCCAGGAACCCACGTGCCTCCCAACTCTCAGACGAGTGGAAACGAGTTTGGCTCGATGCGATGGGCCACAAAAACGCGCTCGACGAGGCCAAGGAGATGCTAGAGGAGATGAAGCGGCTGGAGGGATGGGATTGGGAGGATTGGAAGGAGAGGTGCGTGGCGATACTCTAGACGGATACCGTAGCTTAGCGTACTGTAACGTAGCATATAGGCAAAATGTTCCTTTTCTCCTTCAGATACTGCGACTGGAATGACCACGCTAAAGGGAGGGTGACAGATCTGTTCCGCCGGATCGACCGGACGGCCACTGGAAATGTGCCAAGACAGGCGTTCATTGATGCCATTATCAATAGTCGTAAGTTTCACGGATTCGACAAAATAGTTATTCTCGCATTGCTCGTTTTCGTGCACTTCCGGCCCGGAACCGCGAGCTTTTCCCTTCCAGGCTTCCCCACCTCACGACTCGAAATGGAGAAAGTGGCTGATCTCTTCGACAACAACGGCTTCATCAACCATAAGGATTTCACGAACGCCCTGAGATTCGATAAGACGGTATTAGCTGATCTCGGAAGCAAAGTTATTCTATTTTAGCGTCGCGTCGAACCTCGCACTGACGGTGAAAGGATAGCCGTTGAAATTGAGCGCCAGGTGCGCGGATGCTCATGTTGCCAGCCGTACAAGATTGAGAGGATCGCTGAAGGACAGTATCGGGTGAGTACGCTAGGATACGTGAGGATACGTTGCGCTGCGTTGCGCTACATTAAACTACGTTACACACTTTCCCTATGTATCTTTACGTAACGATAGACTGCGTAGCGTGGTGTAGTGCTAGGGTACACAAATCAGAGGGACAAGATTGGCGAAATACGCTGAGATACGATAGGCTACGCTCAGATACGCTACGATACGTGCAGCTACGTTACGCGACGTAAACCTGAATCCGGTACATTCGCGCTACACTACGATAGGCTGCGTAGCGTTACGTAGCGCTGGGGTATATATGGGTCGGGGCCTGGGGGGCGCCGCCAAATGCCCCTCTCGAGGAGCCTTTTGGGGGCGTCTTGGGTGGGGCCGGCAGGCGCCGTGGGTGGGGCATTTTTCCGGTATGCAGCGATGCAAATTGCGAAAAAACGCTTTTCAGATGACTTTTTGCAATTTGCATCGCTGCATACCGGAAAAATGCCCCACCCACGGCGCCTGCCGGCCCCACCCAAGACGCCCCCAAAAGGCTCCTCGAGAGGGGCATTTGGCGGCGCCCCCAGGCCCCGACCCATATATACGCTGGGGTGTATAAAGCAGGGCGACAATACCCGGAGCCTACGCTAGGATACGTTGCGCTACGCTAGACTACATTATACTACGTGGCGCTACGTCACGTTATTTTTAGTACCTTTACGCTACAATACTATACGTAGCGCTACGTGACGTCACTTAGCTTTATCACAGTACCTGACTTTATACGGTACGCTACGTCACGCTGCAGTACGCTACAATACTATACCTTTTCGCTAGGTCACGCTACGACAACGCTAGTCCAATTACCCGGCGCTAGCTCTTTTCTAGCAGAACCTAATCCCAAATTCGTATACAGTACTCTCTGGTCGTCCACCGTACGCCTAACGCCTTTGGACAGGTTACCAGGAAAATTGTGTTAATCGTGGTGCGGCGATCGGCTTCTACGGCTGCCCCTTTCCGCATGAATACTGTTAGCGAATTTAGGCCACGCCCCTTAGTAAATCAGAAAATCGGCTAATTTTTCACATTTAGTTCGGGGATACGCAAATCAAGCGTATGGTACGGATATTACGATCGACGGTGATGGTGCGAGTCGGAGGAGGATGGGTGTGTCTCGAGGAGTTCTTGAAGAGCCACGATCCGTGTCGGGCGACGAGTAAGTGGGAGAGAGAAAGAGAGAGAGATAGAGAGAGAGAGAGACAGGGAAGACCGACAAACATAATCAACTATAATAAAAAAAGTTGTGGTGTCTGTCCGTCTGTCCGTCTGTCCGGTCCCGAATTCAACTCGAAGGGGAAAGGAGCTAGAGCTTAGGTCTCTTCGGATTCGGATAGAGCGTGGTCAGAAACCCCCAAACTGATAAAAAAATTATGAAAAAGTCTTAGTTTAAATTATTAAAATTAACTTTGAAAGTTTTTCTTTAGTAAAGGGGTGGGGGACCTAGATTGGGGTGATTTTGGACATAGTGAGCCAGGTGACGCGCGTTTCGTGGATGAAAATTTTCACGGGGGATTTCATTTCTTTTTTTTCTCTGATCCCATCCGGTCGGTCGTTATTTCCGTTTTTTAAAAGGATTTCGGCTAGGGGAGGTATTTAAAACCATCAAGAAGGTATTTATATGGAGTTTTTGAAGGGGAGTTCGGCTAGGGGGAGGTATCTTAAGCCACCGGGAAGGTATTTAGGTAGTTTTTGAAGGGGATTTCGGCCATGGGGGGATCTGAAGCGGTTAGCGTGGGTATTGATGGAAGTAGGGAAGGATGTGGTGGAGTAGGACATGTAGGGTAGCCCGAAGGCCGGATGGTTGCAGTCGCGAAGCGACTGTAACCATCTGGTATTTTAGAACGCCGCAACGATGTGCTGAACAACCTGCGTGGCAGCAACGAGCGCATCATCCGCGACAGCATGGAGATGTTCACCAAAAACCGTCATGCTCGCTTCGGGTCTTCAGATTCGGAGCCGCAATTTGCCGTGCCGGGACCGATAATTAAGATTAGGTGAGAGAGACAGAGCGAGAGAGAGAGAGCAGAGAAAACCATCAGAAATCCAAGTTAAACCCTACTTTTTCAGAGAAAAAACCGAGCGCAGCATGCCAATGTTCCCGGGGCAACATCGCCCGGGCGGCTCCGCCCATTCCTCTAATTCACGCCTCCGAACCCCATCCGACGTCTCACTAGGCGATTCCCGAATCGGTAGGCTGCGGTATACGATATCGAAAGACGCTTCTTACATTTAGGCAAGGGATGGCCAGGGAACTCTCCGTTTGGGTCCCAGCAATCGCTGGATAAAGGAAGTCGGCCACCAAGTAGAGCAAGCGAGAGTGGACCCGATAAGCCGACGAGGATACCTTCCTTGAGGGGAAAGAAGGGCGTACGGTAAGTGGCTATTAGTTTTAAAGGGACGTGGAAGTCAAATTCTACTCGGCAGGCTAGCAGGGATTATTGTGAAAGCGAGGGCAGGCTAGCAGAGATCATTGAGGAAGCGAGGGCAGGCTAGCAGAGATCTTTGCGGAAGTGAGGGCAGGCTAGCAGGGATCATTCAGGAAGGAGACGGCAAGCTGGCAGAATTTATTGGAGAATCCGGCTCTTTGGCATTCTCGATGGGGGAATGCAGCTTTTCTTAAGATTCCGGTTTTCTAATAAAAATGTTAGTGTTTCTAAACTTTTTTACTATTTTGAAGCGTAAAAACTTCACAAATCAACTATAATAAAAAAGTAGAGACGTCCGTCTGTCTGTCTGTGTGTGTGTGTGAAGCCGAATTCAACTCGAAGGGGAAAGGAGCTAGAGCTTAGGTCTCTTCGGATTCGGATAGAGCGTGGTCAGAAACCCCCAAACTGATCAAAAAATCACAAAAAAGTTTTAATTTAAATTATTAAAATTAACTTTGAAAGTGGCGCCTTAATAAAACGAGTGGGGGCCCCTCTCCCGGCTGGCCACGCCCCTTTTCCCGGCCCCTCTTCACCAGGCTCTTTCCCGCGCCCAGCTAGCTTTTTAAGTTATTTTAATACTTTTAATACTTTTTAATTATGTTAATTTATTATTTAAATCATTTAAAGTATCGGGATGGAATCTAAGTAGTTTTTGACGGGGATTTCGACTATGGGGGGTATCTGAAGCCATCAGGAAGGTATTTAGGTAGTTTTTGAAGGGGATTTCAGCCATGGGGGGTATCTGAAGCCATCAGGAAGGTATGTAGGTAGTTTTTGAAGGGGATTTCAGCCATGGGGGGGTATCTGAAGCCATCAGGAAGGTATGTAGGTAGTTTTTGAAGGGGATTTCAGCCATGGGGGGTATCTGAAGCCATCAGGAAGGTATGTAGGTAGTTTTTGAAGGGGATTTCAGCCATGGGGGGTAACTGAAGCCATCAGTGTAGGTATTGCCATGAAGGCATCAGCGTAAGGTAGGGATGAAATTTGGTGGTGTAGAATGGGGGGGGTAGCCCGAAGTCCAGCCGGTTACAGTCGCGAAGCGGCTGTAATCGGCTGGTTATATTTATTAAAAAATGCAAAAATATCGAATTTTCAACCGAAATTTCGATAATCCATATTTCTCCATATGCCAAATTTTCAGATACAACCCGCCACGTCAGCTCTAAGCTCTACACCAAATTTGCGTTTTAGCGATTGATTTATCTTTTTTTCTACTGAACATTTTATGCAAATTTCGCCCATTTTTGCTCACCAACCATGACTACTATAGCTTTGATGGGTTTTCGATATTTTTGCCCACTTTTTTGCGCAATTCCCAGATGCTCCACACGCCTTGTTGTCGATGCCGGTTATCAGTTGTTCCCATTTTTTTTTTTTTGCGATTGATTCTTGGCCTTTTATGCAAATTCTGCAGAACACATGCCTTAAAAAATGCGTCCCGCGATCTGAAAAAGTATTTAAGATTTTTTGATGTTTTTTCTGCGTTTTATTATTATTTATTTGCCTTTTAGCACGATTTTCCGCCTTTCCGAACCCCGTTATTTTTTGTGGTTGTGTGCAAGTGTGGTATCATGTATATGTGGATAAATATTATGAAATTAAAGTTTGCGAAATTTTACACACAGTAAATATCTTAAATTGGCTTCAAAATGAATTATAGAACATTTTATTTATTTTTCTTACTTTGTAAAAACACATCGTTCCTAAATAATCTCTGCTAGACCGCCAGGGCTTGGAATTAGGCCGGTGGCAGGCTAGCAGAGATTCCCTGAGGAAGGGCTAGCTAGCAGAGACTCTTTGTGGAAGGGCAGGCTGGCAGAGATTCTTTGAGGAAGGGCAGGCTGGAAGAGATTCTTTGAGGAATGGCAGGCTAGCAGTGATTCTTTAGGAAGGGCAGGCTAGCAGTGATTCTTTGAGGAAGGGCAGGCTAGCAGAGATCACTCGGGAATCCTGCATTCCCTTGCAGATCAAAACAAGGACACCGATTCACACCAAAATAGTTGCCCATCCTCTCGGATTCGCCAACCAGGTGGGAAGGGCGAAAAATTGAGATCCATCACTTTGAGAGAAACTGCCAAAACGCAATTTTCTTTTCCCCGGAAATGAACGCCCGGCTATTGATCGCTTTATTCAGTTTGCTAGCTGTTGCGCTGGGTCTGGAATGTTATACCGGATTCACGTATATTCGGGTGAGTTTTTTGAGGGGAAGGGGTAGGATAGAGAGATTTTTGGGGAAAAATTGAGGAAGGGCAGTTAGCTGAAGTCATTTAAACTTACGGACAATCCAGACCAAAGCCGAAATTTAAGCCGAAGCCAAGCCTGAGCCTAAGCCGAAAGAGGCGGCTTTACACCGATCCTTTAGCAATCGTTATGCTAGCGATTTTCCCAAAGAAAATCATAGAAGCATAGGTTCCAAGATTCCTCAATAACCTCTGCTAGCACTCCCATTCCGATTCCATCAATTTGTCGATATTGCCTATCTTTTTAGGGTCAAAGTGTCGGAACTAACAAGGAAACATGCAGTTCGCCCAAGGATTTTTGCTACAATGCGACAGCTGATATGACAAACTTGAATCTGGTCTCGAGATCTGGGTGCTCGAATCTGCTATGCAAGGTGAGAGAGAGAGGGAGCGCGCGAAAGAGAGAGGGAGAGAGAGAGAGAGAGAGAGAGAGAGAGAGGGCGAGCGAGAATCCTAAATCCTTCCAGGTCGCCAAAAACAAATGCATCGATCAGTCGTTCCTGGGAAAAAAGACCCGGTTTTGCTGCTGCAACGACGGAGATCTCTGCAATTCGAAGAGAGCGGTAAGGCTTTCAATTTCTTGAGCGAGCAAGCTAGCAGAGATCATTGTGGAAGCGAGGGCAGGCTAGCAGAGATTATTTTCGCCATTTTCAGGCGATGAACACCGTCGAGAAGTTCGCGGATCGCATGCATGACTTTTCGAAGATTTTCGGTTAATGGTGGATTTCTGTAAGGCGTAAATAAACTTTATCCTCAAGCCAGAACGAGCAAAAATTCACAGGAAATAGACGGAAAGAAAAACGCGGATTTTTCTGAGCAGAAAAGGTGGACAGCGCACTAATAAGCCCGGGCCTAAGCCAACATAAGCTTAAACCTAAGCCTAAGCCTAAACTAAGCCGAAGCTAAGCCTAAACCTAAGCCCTGCCAAGCCTAATCCGATCGTAAGCCAAGCCTAAGCTAAGCCTAAGCTAAGCCTAAGCTAAGCCTAAGCTAAGTCTAAGCTAAGTCTAAGCTAAGTCTAAGCTAAGTCTAAGCCAAGCCTAAGCCCAAGCCCATTAGTGCACCAACAAACTACACGACCTCTAAAATCTTTCAAAAATAAATATCGAAATTTTGGGGAAAGAGATGAGTAGCGAGTGTAGGTACAAAGCTCTGGACAGGGAAGGGACATTAGAAAATAGATAAAAAAATTTGGATTTATCATAATTTTAAATGAATTTTATAACGGCATTCATGAAAATAGGCGCGCCATCGTTTTGAATTTTTGCTCGAGGATGTCGATGCGGGCCTCCAGCTTCATCTGGTTCTGCTTCAGTTCGCGGTTGTCTTTTCGGAGCTGGAATTTTAGTTTATAGTGGGATCTAGTTATAGTGGACAGAGATCTTTGAGGACGAGAGGGCAGGCTAGCAGAGATCATTGAGGAAGCGAGGGTAGGCTAGCAGAGATCATTGAGGAAGCGAGGGTAGGCTAGCAGAGATCATTGAGGAAGCGAGGGTAGGCTAGCAGAGGTCATTGAGGAATCCACTCACTTTTTCATTCGATTGTTGTAGTTGTTCCATCTCCCACATGATGTCGTCTCGGGTCTGGAATTTTTGAGGTTAGAAAGAAAGAGAAAGAAGGCGAGCGAGAGAGCGAGAGAGAGAGAGCGACAGAGACAGCGCGAGAGCGTGAGAGACAGCGCGAGAGCGTGAGAGAGAGAGAGAGAGAGAGAAAGAACGCGAAAGAGAGACATAGCGCGAGCGAGATAGAGAGAGAGAGACAGACAGACAGACAGACAGAGCAAGAGAGGTTACCTTCGCATTATCCTTTTCCATCTTCTGCACAGAGGTCTCCACCAAGAACGAGTCGAGCCGGATGAGCTTGTGCGCTGCCTTCAGCCGAGCACTTTCCCCAAGTCGTTCTTCCATGATTCTGTAATTCGGGTGTATTTTAGGCAGCCGAAGCCTAAGCATAAGCCTAAGCATAAGTCTAAGCCTAAGCCTACGCCTAAGCCCAAACCTAAACCTAAGCCCAATTATCCCACTTACCCCTCCAAGTTGTCCTTATAGTGCATCGAGGCTCGCTTGGCCAAAACGGCTACAGACTCCCAGGAGACGTCAGTCTAAAATTGTTGTTTTTCTTATCGCATTCCTAATTCTCATTTTTCGTTTGATAATGCGATATGGGCCGACCTGCTTGCCGCTGTTGATCATGTCCTCGATCTGCTTCAGAAAGCCGAATGTCTTGTCGAGGAGAATGCCGTAGGGGAAGCAGCCGACTCCTGAAAATTCACATTTTTCTGCCGTGACTTTCGCATTTTGTCATTTTTAGGATTTTCTAACTGCCGTACCCTCATCCAACGCGGCTCGCATGACGTCGACCTGGTTGAGGATGTGGACCTGGAAATTGGCAAGTTGAGAAACAGGGCGAGCTAGCAGGGATTCTTGAGGAATTTTTAGGGTATTTTTGCGTCTATTAATGTGCTAATAAGTAAACTATCAGAGAGTTTGGGGAATGCTCACTAGCGTGTTCATCTACCTGAATATTGGTGAGCACGCTGGTCGGATAGTAGAGCCCAGGATCCTTTTGCACAAGCCGCTGCAGACGCATTAATAGCTTGTCCGACTTGTCGATGAGCTGATAGTAGCCGCTGTTCAGCATCTGCCCGCAAATCTCGTCCCAATGGGGGTGCACTTGCCGAAGACGTGCCAGCTAAAAAATTCAAAATTTTTGGATTCGGGTATGTTCACCTCCTGATAGCTCATCAACCGCAGCGCCTTGTTGAGCACGACGAAAGGGAGGTCACCGGATTGGCTCGGCATTTCCTGAAAAAAAGCTGATTTTGATTTCTTGTCCTTTTCTCTTATGAATCGTGACTTCGGAGTCCCTTTAAATTGGTTTCCTATCGATTTTGACCTGTCGATTCCTTTAAAACTCGTCTTGCTTATGGGTTTTTAGTTCTATGTTACCTTAAAAACAAATTTTATTATAGATGTTGGCTTCTTGATTCTTTCAAAACGTTTTTCTTTAGGATTTTCGTTTCCCGGCTCCTTTAAAACGATTTTTCCTATGGATTTCGACTTTTTCGTATCTTTAAGACGTTTTTCCTATGAGATTTGACTGCCAACTTTCTCTAAAAACTATTTTTCTTATGGATGTTCGCTTCCCAGTCCCTTTAAAAGGATTTTTCAGAAGGGTCTTGACTTCCGAGTCCCTTTAAACCGTAAAAACTAACCGGTGCACCCATTTGTGCTGGCGTCATCGAGCGCTCCACCTCGGCCTTTCGACGCGCAGCTTTTCCTAAAAAATCACATATTTAAATTTTTTGCAGAGTTTAAATGGCACCCAAATTGATTTAAATAGCGTAAAACATTCCCATGCAAGAAGACCGCCCAATTACCGTACCCCCGCATCCACAGTTTATCAGCGGATCGGTGCAAATGTCACATTCGGAACGGCGTCTCCCCTCTGGTGTCACGACTGAAACCGAAAGTCCAAGCTTATTAAAGGAAAGGGGGAAAATTTGTTAAGCGGATTAGCGCGGAATACGGTAGATTTTGAGGGTATTTGTCATTTTTTGGATTTGTCGAAGCATACGGTAGCGGCGAAAACGGGTATTTTGCCAAAAAGTCCTTGATCGAACATAAAATCGCAAAAAACACAGCTGACACCCCGCGTTAAATTTCTCGCAATAATTTGGATTTTTAAGCGCCTTACACGGCTTTATTTTTCAATTTTAGTTCTTTTTATGAGACACGGCTTGATTTGAGGATCGTAAGTTTCACTTTCATGTTCATTAAAAGCGCATAAGAAAAGGGAAAATGATAGGAATGTAATAGGAAAGTATGTGCCACGGCATTAAATTATAGAAAGACCAAAAAGAATCGTGAATAAGCTTACCCTCGACAATGGGCCCTAGGGGTGGTGATCGGCTCTTTCGGCTGGGTTCCCCGATGCAACTCCTCGATCCAGATGGCTGCAACTGGCCCGACTCGACAAGACTCGACTTCCGGGAGGCCAGCAGCGCTGATTGGAACTGAAAAAATAATTTTCCTATGCTTACTTGCTACTTTCCTAAGATAACGTCGGTCGCATTTTCCTAAGCCTAAGCCTAAGCTAAGTCTACGCCAAGCATAAGTCCAGCTTAAGCCAAGCTTAAGCCAAGCTTAGGCCAAGCCTAAACCTAAGCCCGAGCCTAGGCCAAGCGGAAGCGAACCTGATCCGAGCATAAGACCAGCCTAAGCTAAGCCTAAGCCAAGCTTAAACCGGGCCTAAGCTATGTCTAAGCCCAAGCCGCGCCTAAGCCACGCATAAGCCAAGCCGAAGCCTAACCTAAACGCAACCCACCTTGTCATTAATGGTCGTACTGCTGCTGGTGAAGCTCGTGTCGCGCGTCAGTCCGGTCAGCCGTTTTCGTAGATCCGTCAACGAGTCGGCGCCGTTCAGCGAGGAGCCGGGTTCTTCTTGCCTAAATTTGAGTATAGATTGGGTCTTAGGGCGCCTAAGCCTAAGCCCAAGCCCGAGCCTAAGCCTAAAGTCTAAGCCAATACTAACCTATCCACCGTGGCCGAGCTGCCGCTCCTTTCCACACCATTCTGACGGTCCAGGCTAGCGAGGCGCTGCCGTAGCCGTTCGGAGCGAGTCCTGAATTCCTCCGTATTACCGTGCCTTCTAGGGCAATTAGTCAGACGTGTTGTTAGACAAAGTGGACAGAAGGGTTCTCCGGAAATGGGCGGAACCTGGACCTGGTGGAGGCGTGGTCAAAGTCTTCCGGGCGGATGGTTGATGAGGTTGATGGGGATCGAGAGAGGGATGCGACAGAGGGTACTGTAGATACCCACGATGAGGTCAGGAGGGAGGAGCTGCTGCAAGGGCAAATTTTGGGAATCCCGAGGTAAGGACGTCCGAAAACTCTCATTTGATCGCAACATACCTGCTGCCCGCCTCCAAGCCGTTCGTCTCGCTCCCATATCCGCTACTGCCATTCACCGTCCTCTCATCGCAGTGATAGCCGTTCGTCTTGGACACCGGGCTCTCCGGCGCTTCTTCTTGTGGTTTCTCGTCGGTGCTCCGGTTCCCGTTCAGGTACTTCGAGAGCAGCGCATTTTTTCGTTCTTGGGTGATCGTCGTTCTAAAAAAATAGGTTTTTTAATAATTCTTCGCATCCCTTTCAAAACCCCGAAAATTCCGTACGTGTTCGCGCCGCCGTTCATCTTCGGCCCCTCGTTGCCAATGTCGCCGTAGCCGAACGTCATCGGCTCGGTCAAGTCGTTGGTCGCGCCGTTTACCGAGCCGTTGGTTGAGCCGTTGGTCAACGTCTTCGTCGAGCCGTTGGGCAAGCCGTTCAGCGGCTCGGTAGATGAGAGCGTGGCAGGCTAGCAGAGATTTTTGCGGAAATCAGGATTTCTCACCTTTTTTCGTTCCACCTCCAGGGGTGAAGGAGATTTTTGGCGTTGAGGCTTGCCGTTTTCGAGGATGGGCGATTTCGCTTCGGTAGCTATTCCGTTGGTTCCGTTACTAAAGTAGGAATGTGTAAAATTACGGTAGAGTACCGTACTTACCTAACTACCGTAGCCTTGGGGACCACCGCCGGGGTCGAACCTTCAACCCTGGTCTCCGTCGTCACCGACTCGGTTCCGTCCGCTTTTTTCACGATTTTTTTGATGACCCTGGAAAATTCTGGTTTTTAAGGGGTTTGTGAAGTGAAAATTCGCGTTTTCCAGATTTTTGGCAAAATGCCAAACCCGTATTTAAGCATTAATAGCTAAAGATACCTAGAAACTGGCCAAGAAAGGCAAAAGTGCCAACCCTAAGCCTAAGCGTAAGCTGTTTCTGAGTCTAGGCCTAGCCTTAAGCCAAGCCAAAGCTTAAGCCTAACCTAAGCCTAAGCCTAAGCCTAGGCCCAAGCCTAAGCCTGAGCTTAAGTAAGCCTAATTGTAAGCTTGCCCAGGCGTAAGCTTACCTAAGCCAAGCTTAAGCCGAATTCTAAGTCCAACGATTTCTGCTTCTGCTTACTTTGCCAATATAAATCGCATAATAGCGGCAAAACACGCCGGAATAGCCAGCGGAACCAGACGACGGCCAGAGGCGTACGGAGTAGTGTTGTGGAATAGCAAGCGCCGAGTGCCAAGTTTTTGAGCGGCCCGCTGACCGTTGCGGCGAAACAACTGCCACCCGCGAGGGGGGCAGCGTAAAGTATATATGGCCCACACCAGTCGTGGAGCAGCGGGTTTTCTCTCTCTCTCTCTCTCTCTCTCTCTCTCTCTCTCTCTCTCTCTTTCTCTCTCTTTCTCTCTCTCGCTTTCTCTCTCTCTCTCGCGTCGGCTAAATTTTTTGGGCTCCATCGAGATCGGGCTAATTGATGAGGAAATCGGAACGGGGAGCACGAGGTGGCGCTTGGGTTTCTTGGAAAATGTCTTCCTAATGCTCTCTGCTAGCCTGCCCTCGCTTCCTCAATAATCTCTGCTAGCCTGTCTTGTTTAAAAACCAACCTCTTCTTTTCGCTGGCCACCACCTCGGTACCGTTCGTCCCGTTCGTTCCGTTCTCCGTGGCGCCCGGCGACTTCTTCTTCACGACTCTGCGAATCACTTTCTTCTGAAAAATTAGAAAGATAACTAAGAAAATCTAGAAAATTTAAAATTAGTAATTAAACAAAAAAAGCAATTTGTTACTGACCTTCGGTGGCGGGATGGCAAATACCCGACTGACAGGCACGATCCAAAGCGTGTAATTCCCGGACTTTGGCTCGCTCGACTCGCTGGGAGAGGCGGAAGACTGCGCGTCCACAGAATCCGGGGTGTCTTCTGGAAAGTAACGTACGGTTAGGCCTAGGTAGCTTAGGCTTGGCTTAGGCTTGGCTTGAGAGGTGGTCTTAGATCTAAGTCAAGCTTAGGCTCAGGCCCGGCCTAGGCTCAAGCTTAACTTAGGCTTAGGGCAAGGTTAGGCTTAGCGTAGGCTCAGGCTTAGCTTAGGATCAGCTTAGCTTAGCCTTGAGCTTCACTCAGGCTCGGCTTAGGCTTAGGCTCAGGCTTAGGCTTAGGCTTGGACTTAGGCTTAGGCTTGGGTTTAGGCTTAGCTTAGGCTCAGGCTTCGCTTTAAGCTTAGGTTTGGGCTTAGGCTTGGCTTGACTTAGGCTTAAGCTTAAGGCCACATACCTTTCTTCCCGGTCCCACAAATTGGTGCACTAGTCGCGGAGAGCAGATGAAAGAGCGTGCGCCCGTTTTCGAGCTCGAGCACGAGAAATGCCCACTTTGAGGGGTAGAGCCGCTAAAAGGGTTGAGATACGTTAATGGCGCCACTTTTTTCATACCGTAAACAAATCGATAAGTGGCCGCTTCCAGTCACTCCCCCTCCCAAGCACCAACTCCAACGCGGCGCCCGGCTGGCCGTCGGTGAACACCGCTGAGGTCTGAAAAAATACGATTAAGATCTCACGGTTATTTTAAAGGCATTTAGAAGTCAGAAATTGGTTGGGGAAAAATCGGTATTTTTGTGTTCTCAATAAAAATTTGTATGGTTTAGATGCGTTTATAAACAGTAAAGACGGCTTAAAAACACTCCTAAATTCATATTCCAAAATACCAAGAAAGAAAGTCGGCTCCGGATAATGCTAAAGCTCCGGATACCTTAAAGGGACCTTGTAAGGAAGGGGGTTCGCGTCTCTCCAATATTGATTTTTTTGACAAAAAGGTCGGTTTTCGACCCAAATTTGAATTTTAAAAAGCTTCTAAATTTTGGTTTGTTCAGTTTTAAATAAAGTCAAGTTTTATTAAAAACTATCAAAATACTTGCAACTGGGTTACTAGGAATTTCTGGGGGAAAAGGGGGAAATATAGGCAAAAACAAACCGCGGACAGCAAGGCATCAGCTTTTCAAGGGATTTTAAAGTAATGCCCCTGGCAACGCCGAAAAACTGTTTAAGAGCATTTTACAGATTTTTAGCAAAATTATTTACACGTTTTTTAAACTGAAATTTAACTGCGAGAAAATCGCGCCTCCAGACACCTCCCTGAAACAAAAGTGGCAAAAGCTAGGGCAGGAAGGGGCAGCCAGCGCGTGCTAGTTGAGTGTCGCCAAATAGATTCTGGCGAGCGGGCTGAACTGACTGTATCGGTTGGGGCAGTCTTTAGCTTTCAAAAGAGCAGAACGAGTAGCCAGGGGTAAAGCTGGCAATCGATATGAGGTCCAGGTATCGGGTAGCGGCTAAACTGCAAAAACGCGCTTGTCCGTTGGATCAGGTTTCCAAAGTGCAACTAGTAAGGAGGTAGAGTATAGCTTGACTTCAAAGGTTTAAAACCGCACGTTCACGCATGGGTATCGGATCTAGTAAAGAGAGAGAGAGAGAGAGAGAGAGAGAGAGAGAGAAAGCGAGAGAGATAGAGAGGGGGTTGAGAGAGTCCAAGAGAGACCGAGAGAGAGAGAGAGAGAGAGAGAGATGCAACATCGCCTAGCAGTCGTAAAACTAGCGTAATCGATTACGTAATTTAAATCAGGTCACAAGCGTCGCATAGATTCATAGGAGATACATAGCAAAAAAAAATTACGCGGAAGGTCGATATATTTGCAAAAAAAAGCTATTCAAAAAGCATCGTATGATCTGGAAAAACTTTAAAAACCCTCACCTTGCTCAGCGGCAGCCTGTGAAGCCCGGCCGGGTCGAAACCGGCGTTGTCGACGTGTGAAATGTCGGGCAGGAAGGTGATCTGGATAAAATTTGATAGCCACCAATTTTATAGCATGTTAAACAATTTTACCTCTCAAATTTCTAATTAACAACTATTATTTAAGTCGCTACCTGCTTGCCGAGATGTGGAAAAGGCATGAAAAAGGGTTTCGAGGAGAGGTCGGGTCCGGGCCCGACTGTGCACTCGATGCCCTCGAAGTTTCCGGCCAGAGCATCTTGCACTTCTGAAATTTTAAGGTTGAAAACTGATAGTGGAATTTTTAAGTATATTGCCATCCTCCGACACCTTCTACTCGGGTCATATTGCTAAGAATATGATTTCAGGTATATTTTTAGCTCTGGAAGACCCCCTTAAACCCGCTGCTCTATTTTTTTTTCCTCATTGCAACGCCAGCGGCCCCCGAAATGTTATTCGGGAAGGTGGCGGAAAGTGTGAACCGCGTGGGATGACATAAAACAGGGACCGGCCCGGGGCTTTTGGCCCTGGGAGGATGCGCCGAACAGCTGGCAATATTTCGAAATGCGACACACACAAATCGAAAACAGCTGAGGAATGTACCGGGGAGGTATTATAGGTATGGGATTACGCACCCAATGTGGGGTTTGGGAACCGGAAGTTGGCAATTAACGGCATGGTCAAGGGGATTGAATAGGGGACGGCTCAAATACCGATTTTCGAGTTGTCGAGAATGTAATAACAGAATTCAACTTGCAAATTCGGTGTTTTGAGCGGTAAAGTGATGGAGATCGACAATTTTTCCATGAGTTACAGCGTTCAAAATATCGATTTTCACGATGCAGAATCTTTAATTGATGCTTTCGCACTGTCGAAAGTCGGCATTTTGTACGTCTAGGGTATAGAGAGAGCGAGAGAGCGGGAGAGGGAGAGATAGAGAGCGAGAGAGAGAGAGAGGAACAAGATCCAAAATTCCGATTTTCACAATGTCGAAAAACGTAATAATCTAATTCAACTCGCGAAATTTCATATTTTGAGCTGTGACGCGCTTAGAGATAGGAATAAACTTCGGAATGCCGATTTTCACGATATATAAAGCGTAATAATCTAGTTCTCGACTTGCGAAAATCGGTATTTTGAACAGCAAAGTGATAAAAGTTAGCAATAAAGCTCAAAATGCCGATTTTTACGGCTTCGAAAATATGATAATCTAATTCGATTTGCAATAATCGGTATTTTGAGCAGTAAGGCGATCGATAGTATAGCCAATCTTATTACCCGGTAACAACGGCCGCAAGCTCGACACTTCTTCCGCGAAACTGTCGCCCAACTGCCGCAACCGCGCCAGATTCTCGGCCAACACCCGCCGTTTCGAGATGTTAAAGCGGACCTTCTTCTCATTCTCTAGCCCACTATCACTGAGCTTCCGCTCTGGGATGGCTTCTAATGGCAGCTGAATCTTTTCTGGGACGCTACTCTCGGCGCTGGAGTTCACCGCCTCAGAGAAGCCAGAATCTTCTTCGCTGTCCTCCATCTTCACTCCAGAATTCTCTTCTTTCTTCGCTTGATTAAGCTTCTTCTTGACTATGACCTTTTTCTTCTTCTTGATTTCTTCAGTTCGAATCACCGGCAGCGGCTCTTCGGGAATAAAATCAACAGCAGCTTCCGGAGCTTCAATCTTCTCCAAAAGTCGAGTAAGCTGCTTCGGATACACGGCCTCTTCTTCGGGCTGCTTTGTCCAAATGCGCGAGCCCAGCCGATATAGAATGTCCATAGGAAAGAGGCGGAAATCAAAGCCGTTTCAAGAAGTGTGGCGCGGCGCGGGGGAGGGCTGGCCTTTCGGGCCCCCACTCAAAATCTGGCGGATACCTATTTGCCAAGTCGGGGGATGGCAAGGGGAGAGAGAGAGCGAGAGAGAAAGAGAGAGAGAGCGAGCGAGAGAGATACAGATAACTAGAGAAAAAGACAGGATATGGGACTAACTAAACTAACTTTGGAACCAAGGGGTTGGCTGCTTCAAAATATGAAATTTTTAAAGACAGAAAAAGTTTTTAAAAAGTTTTCCGACTTATTTTCCAGTAAAAATTGGCTTTGGCTTCAATCGGCGTAACTTAAGTCTTTCATTGAGCTTACGCTTAGGCATCGGTTTAGGCTTAGGCTTAGGTTAAGCATGAGCTTAGACTTACGCTCATGTTAGGCTTAAGCTTAGGCTTAGCTTGGTTAAGTTTGGACTTAAGCTTAGGATTGCCTAAGCTTGACTTAGGCTTAGGCTTAGGTTAGGCTGCAGTTTAGGCTTAAGCTGCTTAGCCAATAACTTGCATGTTCCAATTTTCCAAAAACCCCCATTTAAATTTTCATAAAAACGCAATAAAAGCAACTCACAATCTAAATTTTTCCGTAAAAAAACAAGTGTAATTTTCAATTTAAAAAAACCGCAAGTGAAAAAGCTCATGCTCACCTGGCAATAAAGCAAGCAAATCCGCATCGTCCATGGTGCGTGGCGGGAATGGTGGACCTCCGGACCGGGGCCGAGTTTCGTTGTTAGCCTTCCTTTTCTCTGTCTGTCGCTCTCTCTCTCTCTCTCTCTCTCTCTCTTCAGCACACAGGCCACAGCCCCTGGATCCTCGGAGGCTTCTTTACAGCGAGAGGCGGGGAGGGCTCGACAGGAGCAGCCAGCAGCAGCACAAGCCCCTCGCCGTAGATATCAAGGGCCCCTCCGGGTGCCGATCAAGGAAATCGAGCGCGCCGCTGCACCTGTGCCCTCTATGTCATTTGTAAGCTGTCGGAGGGTGGAAGCGGGGAGCGAGAATGTAAAATGAAACAACCAGGGATGAGGGATGGGAAATAGCAGATGCGGGCTTCCGGAAATCCCGATCAAAACACCAGATGGAACGTTTTGATCGGCTTACAACGGAGTGGATCGCTAAGCCTAAGCCGAAGCCTAAGTCTAACGAGAAAATTGAGCAGTATCGCTAAAACAGCTAGGACTTCGATGCATGGAGCTTTCGCATTATCGGGGGGGGGGTTAGGGAATACAGACTTTTTTCCTATAGGTCCAGAAATTCCTAATAACGACGTACCTAATATTTTAATAGTGTTTTTAATACCATTTAACTCTATTTCCAGTGAAAATCAATGAAAAAGTTGGGGAAAAATTTACATTTTGTGGTCGAAAATCGATATTTTTGTATTTTTGACAAGAATTTGTCGAGTTTTTACTTCTAGACTAAATAAAAAAAAGAAAGTTATTTAGGAAATATTCTGCATTTATATTAGAAAAATATTATCTGAAGAAAAATGGGTCCCCCCGTTATTGCCAAAGAAGCCCTTATACCTTGTTCGAATCAAAAAAAAAAATGCAAATGAAAAATTAGTTGGAATTACGGGTTCATAGGTATAAAAGGGCGTATTTTCATTTTGTCGAAATTTCAATGCCTATTTCGCCTCGATTATCAATCACGAAATTTCGACAAAATGCTTTTCGACAATCTGGTATCAAAACCGCAATTTTTAATTTTTCCCACCCACAACAATCCCTGAATTTCGACATCACCCCCAAAAATTCGGACGCGCAGGCTCTCAACTCTCGCGTGATCCATCAAAAAAACACTCATCCATCGCATGAGAGTCAGGGGAAAAGAGCGTATGGAAAAGAGCAAAAGTTGCCGTCCAAGAAATACACATACATGAAAAAGCCCCCGGCGGCGGTTAGTAAATGTGATATGTGTAGAGCCGAGGGGGCCATGGGACCCATGTGCACAACCGGACACCCCCTCCCCCCGGCTTCACGACGATTTGGAGCCGTTTTTCGGCCAGAGGGGGACATCCCTCGACGACCGTCGAGTGGCCCTCGCCGTTCCACACCCTCCCAGGGCCATCATCCACTGTTCCAGGCTCTCTGTCTGTCTGTACGTCTGTCTATCTGTATCTATGTGTATCTGTCTGTCTGCATGTCTGTCTCTATGTATTTCTTCCGGTCTATCTGCATGTCTATCTGGTTTGTCTGTTGCCTGCACGTCTGCTCGTACGTCTCTCTATATGTGTGTATGTGTATATATCTGTCTGTACGTCTTTATGTCTGTCTGCCTCTGTGTATGACCCTCAATCTATACGTCTGTGTACTGTCTGTCTGATGGTATATTCAACGTCAGACCGGAAAGCTAAAAAACACCCCAAAAAGCCGTTATGACCCCACGCTTACGCAACACACCTATGAACACCGTTTATTTAGTGTTTAGTAAGTCACAATTAGTATTTAGCGCTTTCGACAAAAAAAATACACGCAGTGTCTGGCTCGCTGTCTGTCTGTCTGTCTGTTTTTTTTCCGTGTGTTTCCGCCTAGCTGATGATCTGCAACAGCAGAGAAGAAGGAAAAAACTAGGACCAAAAGCGTATTTCGCTTCCTGCAATTTGGATTCCACGCCTTCCGACTACGTAACGCGCCTATGAACATACTTTTGTCGATCGGCGTTCTTACGTAGCCAAAAGTGTAATCGATAGCGGTTTCGACAAATACACAAACTACCAAAATTCTTGCGAGGTATTGACGTATTATGAACGCTAGGTGAAGATCCAAAAAACGTTCGCGACATTCTAGTAATGTACTGGCATTGGACGCACTAATATGAGGTTGAATTTTTACTTCAAATTTCCCCAAGATGAAAGGAATCAGCTAGCTTTTTTAATTTGTAACTTATACGCATGGAAACAACTTCAATCACTCAAGCCCGAATTGCTGCTGGGTTGCAAAACCCGCAAAACTCATACCTCTTCGCACCGCTGTATTACAACCCATGCCTGATCTCGGGTCTCTTTTCGGTCTCTTTCTTTCCCCCGGGCCATGATCCCGAGCTGTTCCCCAAAAATTTCACCACGCGGCCGCACATTTTTATACACCACCCCGGCCCTAACCCCTAATTTTTGGTCGCTGAGGAGAAATGGGCAATGAATCGGCTGCCCTGCCCCCCGCGCAAAGGTTCGATAAGCCGATTTGGAGAAGGGAACGCCCCCCATCTCACTGATTTCGGGATCAAAAAGTTACCCATTGCTTTGAAGGTTGTTTTCAGCGCTCTCCCGGGCTACTCTTTAGTTTCTCCTTCCGTTTTATCATCCAAAAATCCCCCTAAAATGTCTCATTTCTGCTTCGCATACTTTGCTAAACCCTAAATAAACCCGTTTTCAGTCCTTTAGCCCTTCTTGATTTTATCCTTAGACTCCCAGGTTTCTAATCTGAATAGAGGAAGTGTTATAAACTTATTTTACGTTTCCTTAACCTAAAAAATACAGAAATTTATGGGAAAAATTCAAAAAATATGGTTTTTGGACTAGAATTTCGACTCTACTTGATATTCTAAATGGTTTGCCACTTGAATTACAGCGGACTTTTACTAAAAATCAAATCAAATTTCTGGTTATGACGTAGGTATATCTGAAATTGTATAGGAAATTAGAGCATAGAGCAAAAAATTCGGCCCCTACCCCGCAAATATTAAAAACCCCGTTTCTCTTTTTTTAATGGTTTTTCTGATTTCGACTACTTTCACGTGCTACTCTTAGAAGATGCACGCGGCCGCCGGCGTCCCTCAGCGCAAAATGACCTACTGGAACCCGACGAATTCCATCCCAGCATCCCAGAAAAACACGCAAGGTTAGCATTTCCGTAACTATATTTATTCACCTATTTTCTTCGCTATAATCTAGCAATTCTAAACGCAAAATGCTTACAACAGTCAAATCTAACGCTCTCATAAATGAATCACATTTCGGGCAACCCGGGCTAACGAGATCACACGGGCAAATTGACGAGATCCGAAAAAGGCAGTTTGGATCTCGAAAGCACAGGCGAAAGTCGGAGAGATGGGTTGAGCACACGTAGCAGAAATTGCTGCCGCTCCTCGACCTTATCATCAATTCCAGGAAATCCAAAAATCGCGCGAGATCGAGGCGAGTATCGGCGAGCAAGAGTTTCTAAAAAATCTTTGAAAGCTGGGCCTTTAAATTTACCTGGTATTGCTCTATCAGCTCTTCTTTTGTGAAGCCAACGACCCCTTCGAGGGTGTGCTTGATATCGACGAGTCTGCTCTTCAACAAGTCCCAAACGAGATGCGCGTTGGAGGCGTTGACGAAATTGTGGTTGATGGAGATGGTCGTCTCCAGGTTGTGCACCTGGTGATGCCAATTGGAGGGCACGAAGAACAGCTCGCCGCTTTCTTGAAGCACCTAACAGATAGGGTTTTGCGGGTTGCGTAAAACGGCTATTAGCAAGTATCACACGGTTTGCACGCCTTTCAAATAGACAAAATATACGGATTTACGCCCAAAATCAGCTTATTTCGAGTATAAGGTATGCCTTAAACTTCATTTGTCGTTGATTTTTACATAGTTTAATTTAATGGTCACTACTTTTTCGGCTTTCAACCCGTATTTTCGACCACGGAACCACTTTCAAATGTCAAAAAGAATGCCTAAGTCTTTTAGATAGTCTTTATGATAGCAATATGGTTAAATTTACTAAAAACACGACGAAAATACTTCGTATTACGTTGGTAGGGTTTTCTGGGCTAATAGAAAAAGATCATTTCCCCCGATAATGGAAAAGTACCGGTTGTTATACGAAACTGACCTAAGCAAAACGTACCGTGCGACATTTGCTAATTCCCGTTTAAAACCCACTTGAAATACTCCAGCTTCCTCCCAAAGATGCTTGAATTCCCGAAGATCCTCGACGAGCACTCCATGCTTCATAAAAAGCGCCTCACGCCCCGGTGGCACGAAATACCACAATTTCCGCCCGCAAATGTTGGCCGACCAGCTGTGCGTGGCTAAGACGTCGGAATGGAACCGCGTCCAGGTGTCCTTCTTGCCGATGTAGACGAAGCGATAGTCACCGCCAAAGGGATTGCCCTCATCCCCGGTCCATGCTTCACGGTTGATCCAGTCGGCACGCAGGGCAAGTGGTGACAAGTACATTTCGTCGCCGTGTGCCCTTTGAAAGTGCCAATCTTTGAGGTACACATCTTTCGACTCCTCGGTATTGTCCTCCTTTCTGCAGTGTTCGATGTAATCGGCTAGTCGCATATTCTGGCAGCCAGCTCTCGATACCACCGGGCACTGCTCATCTCCGTATGCTCGTGCTAGATATTCGAAATTTGGGCGTCCGTTTCGGGCCCAGAGTCTTCGGGCCGTCCAGTTGGCCGTGGACGAGGCGGGCATTTTGAAGGGCTTCAGGGCTAGCACATAATTGGCGAAACAAACAGCGAATGAGGTTGACGGCTCGATCTCGCCGACGTCGTTCATCCTGAAATAGGAGAATTAGCTGCAAAGAATGTTAGGCTGCTGATAGGCGAAACTTCCGGGCGTTTTCGGTTGTTTCGTACAATCGAGGAAACCAGCTTTCGCGCAATATTTCAAAACATTTTTTGGCTTTCTAAATAATTTTTCCCTTTCAACAGCGCTAGCTTTTTCTAAAAACTACTACCACCAGAAACTAATTATTAAAAAACCTTATAATAAATTAGCAATAAGATCTGGATGGAAAAAAAGAAAAGGCAAAAATTCAGTCCCCCGATGATTTTCCGGAATTCCGATAGCGCCGGGTTTTAGATACAAAAACCACAAGTTTAGGGGCGTCAGAAAACCCGTTATCTCATGCTCAGTTTTCCCCCCTCATTTTACTGATGACCCTTTCTGCAACCTTTTGTGAGACAAACGCCAAGCGCCCTTGTTTTCGGGGCCCTTTTCCAAATGTGCTTTCCTGCGCTTTCGACGTTCCTCAAAACGAATTACCTGACAAAATTATCAACTTGCCCTTGTTGTCGGCGCGACTATCCTCAGCGCAGGCCATCCCGATCGCCAGCAATAGTTTGTAGTCTTTCAGCCGACGAGACCTGTCCATCGTTGCCACTCCACCGGGGTCGAAAGAGAGTCTCAACCTCCCCCCGGCCCGGCTCTAACCCCGCTGCAAACAAACAATCTTTTATGTACCTCAATTCCTCAATTCCTCAAAGATTCCCTGCTAAAATCGATATAAACGGTTCTGGTTCGTTAGCGGGGGGCTACAAATACTAATAATTTTTCTTATTTTATTAATGGAAGTTAGAATTAAGTATCCAATGACTTTTATTCAGCCTAAGGTTCATTATAATCGGACATAAACTATTTTATAGCGTTTCTGTTAGTTTCTGATTGCTAAAGACTTACAAAAACTTATTTAAAATGTCTTCAAAATTTCAAGTTTTAGTTGTGCATGCCTTTTATGGCTTGAAAACGTAACTTTTTACAATTTTTGTAAGATCTTTATATCCAAAAGGCGCAGGATGCTATCATAAAGTTTTTGAGGGTTTTTGTGTTTAGAAGTTTTTCTGGTATTTTAGTGACTTGTTTTTCAGCCTAGGCGCATAGGGGAACATTGAAAAAAGTTAGTTTACCCCCTAGAAACCGAAACCCCCCGCTAGTGAACCAGTACCACAATCACTTATTTTCCTTGTTTCCTCAAAGATGCCCTGATAAAATCGATGGGCGCGGCGCCCTTTTGATTCACCATGACTCATGGCCATCAAAACTTGAGTCTTCCCCGTTTCCTGTTTCATTTCGGCCCTTTCTAACTGTGCTTTTGCCCTCCTAACATGTTTGCTTTAGTTGGCTAGGCGGTAGTAGTGCCTCGTACGATCCGAGTGGCACATGATTCGTAAGTTTTGAGCGAGCTTTGGGCGCTCTTGAGCTTTTTAGACCCCAAAATCATGTTTTTAGTGTTTTTAGACGAAATCCGGGCCCCGATGCAACCCCAAATTTAGGTTCCGATACCTCGAATGAGCAAGTGCGGGTGCCGAACGTCATCGCGTTGGTCGGGCTGCCGGCGCGGGGCAAGACCTACATCTCGCACAAGCTCTGCCGCTACTTGAACTGGATCGGGATCCGGACCAGAGGTAGTTTTGGGTTATTTGTCTCTAAAAAGGGGTCGTTTACAGGCACATTTAAAGTGCTTTCGCGTTCAGATATAGCTCATTCGATAGAGCTTGAAATTCTGAATAAATTACATCTTTTAAAAACGGATTTTTTTTCGGAATTTCAAGCTCTATCAAATGAGTTTTTTACAATTAATAGCAAAACTCCAACATCACTTCAAAACCATATTTTCGATCAACTGTATCTTTCTTTAGCTTTCAATGTCGGCGAATACCGACGAAAAGCTTGCGATCTCGTGAAAGAGGGTGAGGCCGACTTCTTTTCCCCGCACAACCAAGCCGGACAGAAGAAACGGGAGTATGCATATTCTTTGGTATCGTAAACAATCTTCTAGCGAATGCGCTCGCCTAGCCATCGAGGATATGGGCCGATACTTGGAAAGTAAGGAAGGAGAAGTTGCCGTAAGCTTTTTGGCGTTTTCCTCCATTTTTTCTAGATCCTCGATGCCACAAATACGACTCGGGAGCGTAGGAAATTATTGGTGGACTATTGCCGGAAATCAAATCGAAGCCCGCCCTTCAGGTAAGAAAAAGTTAGCCCGCTAATTTCACGTATTTTTCAGAGTTTTCTTCGTTGAGAGCGTCTGTGACGATCCGGACATTATCAACTCCAATATTACCGTTCGTTTTTTACGGCAAAAACATATTTTAGCAATTTAGGAGGTGAAAATCAATTCTCCCGACTACAAAGGAATCATGTCGCAAGAAGAGGCCAAAGAAGACTTTGTAAAGCGCATCGAGAACTACCGCCTGATGTATCAGCCTCTGGATGAAGAGCACGACGAGGATTTGAGTTATATTAAGGTTCGTAGCTTTCTCTATTAAGTTGATTATCTTTTTAGGTCATTAACGCCGGTAAATCGTTCTTTGTTCACAACGTCAACGGGCATGTGCAATCCAGGGTTGTCTATTTCCTGATGAACATCCACTTGCTGCCCAGAAGTATTTATTTGACACGCGTAAGCCATCGCTTCCCGAAAGAAAACTATTGTTTTTAGCACGGCGAGAGCGAGTACAACTTATTGGGAAGATTAGGCGGTGACAGCCCGCTGAGCGAACGCGGTCTCGACTATGCGGCAAAGCTCAAAGATTTCCTTGAGGTAGAAAAACGGTTGAATACAAAATTACGATTTTTTTTTTAGAAAGCCAAAGTGCCAGAACTCCGAATTTGGTCGTCACAAAAGATCCGCGCGGCCCAGACGTCTGCAAAGCTCCGCGATCTTGCAGCCCACGTCGAGTACTGGAAAGTATTGGACGAAATTGACGCGGTTGGCCAGTTTTACCGCTTTATTAATCGGTTTTAGGGTATTTGCGAGGGTCTCACTTACGAGGACTTTGAAATCCGGTACCCGAAGCAGTTTGGGGAGCGCGACAAGGACAAGTATCACTACCGGTACCCGTCTGGAGAGGTGTGTTTTGTAAATCTAATCGAAATACCTGGAATTTAGAGCTACGAAGACCTGGTGGCCCGCCTTGAGCCCGTCATCATGGAGCTGGAGCGACAGTCCAACGTGCTCGTCATCTCCCATCAAGCCGTCCTCCGCTGCATCCTCGCATATTTCACGAATCAGAATCGCGACGATCTGCCGTATCTCAAGGTATGTTTCTAAGAGTCGTTATATAATTTTAAAGCAAATAGGGGTCTAAAAAGTCGTAAAAAATTCTTTTTTAGGTGCCGCTCCACACCGTCGTCAAACTTACGCCAAAAGCCTACAGCTGTGAGGTGGAGATGTTCAAATTCGACATCCCCGCCGTCAACACTTACCGAGAAAAGCCGAAACAGGTATCGTTTTAATTTCGTGATTTTTGTTACCTGTATAACCGAATTTTAGCAGGACAATGGCCCAATTCAGTATTGCCATTCTCCCTAAGGTACCACGTGTCGTGTTGTATCGTATTAGTTGAATGAAATTTTACGTTCAGCATGATTCTCGGGTTCTTCTCTGTTAACGGGGGGAGCTGATGTTGATTTTCATGCATAATTCTTTTATAGTGTTTGTTTGGTCGTTTTGATTGCTAGAAACCTGTAACAATGATTTTAACTTTTTGCCAAAAGTTTTTGGATATGTTTCATACGTTTTTTACAAAAAAGTTTTAAAATGCTGATAGTGGCCTTATTTTTATGTCTAAAAACGTTGCAAAATGCTATACAACTGATTTATATTTCGTTAATAGACCGGAGTTGGTGGGAAAAAATTCTTCCCCCCCCCCCGTTAACAGGGAAGTCCCCATTCTCGAAAAAGCCCGTAAAAATAATTTTAATAAATTTTTTGTTTAGCAAAACAGCGAGGAAGCCCGTCGCCCATCCATCGACACCCGGGTCGTCGTGCAGTAATAATCAAAAGAAAATACCTAGATTTTATTAGCTAGATTCTACTTACTTAGAAAATTTTTTGCTCATTTTTTCGTTGTCTCTGCCATACGCTAGCTTTTCCCCGCTAACCACCTCATTTCTTGTGCCTTACTCTCTCTCGTTGGCCCCGCATTTACACTCAAACTAATCAAATTGCCATACACACCATTCGTTCGCTTGCTTGTGAAAATGCTTCCGGAAGTAGTTCTGTGATAATTCTCCTCGCCTCAATTAATGTCGACCCGTTTATATATTGTGATTTTTGCTCAGAGCCAGCCTCCTCATTGTGTAGAGATTATCGGTAGCCATTTTTATGTTAGTCTGGTGCTTCTGTAGATGTGTCTTGAATAAAAGTACCTACCCCGTGAAGTGGACCGGCGAAATGATCACTGACATTCAATGTATCTGCTCAACACATTACGGCGCCATGGTATAATAAGTATTGCTTCAGAGCGCTCCTCATTTCCGGCATGAGTTATGTGGGCCCCGGGTCCAGTAATGTGAGTTTTTTGTTGCAAGGAGGGTTTTTAGGTGATTTGAGAGTTTTGCGATGTGAGATGGCGTAGAGCGTAAAATTCCGGACAAGTCCTAGCTTGCAAAGTTCGCAGAAAGACAACCTTTTTCGAGGACCAGCTTCTCAAAGTTTATTTTTGCTAAGCGGAGACCGAAAATTGTCAAAATTGGCCCTTTCAAAGCCAATTTTTTCCAAAAATCGTTGTCTTGCAGCAGTTTTTGAAAGTTCGAACTTTTTCAAAGCTTCCGGCTCTAGCAAATAAAGTCAACGTTTACGTTTTGCTAAGCGGGGACCAACAAACCTCGAAATTGGACCTTTCAAATAGAATTTTCTTGAAAAACGCTGTCTTTCTTTTGTTTTTGAAAGCTGCGACTTGCTCGGGATTTCAAACTCTGTCGAATGGGTTATCTCACATCCAAAAAACTCCAATAACACCTAAGAATCACTCTTTTTCGCAAACTTTCACAACAACCTGGGAGAAATTAAGATTTAGAGTGTGCGGCGTTTCAACCATCTTACCATTAAAAGCCTAGCACTACGAGTAAGCGGCGCTTCAATTTTTTTGCCAAATTTTCACACAAAAATGAAAAATTCTGGAGCTAATTCTGGACTTTTAGAGCGCAAAACTCAAAACCCCGGAAGCGCACGAGTTTGTCGATGCGATACCCGGCGAGAAATTTGAGGCTTTTGGTGAGTATTTTAGTGACCTTCTAGGTATTATATTTGTTAAATTATATTGTCTTATCATTCCAGATCCGGCAATCGGCTACGTGACACCGGATGGCACAAAAGTTATGGGCTCCGTGACGGTGACCACCTATCGGATGCGTTTTCAAGGGCAGAACGGGAAAGAGGTAAATAAATTATTGGAAAACATTCATTACGTGTTCCAGAAAATACAATTCGACGTGCCGCTTGGTATAATTTCTAAAGTGGAAAAGGTGGGCTTATTTTTTTGATAATAGTGACTCGTTAAATTTTAGTTTGGTCATAAAAATATAACGAGAGCGGATGATTCGTATGGTCTTGATATCCATTGTAAAGTGGGTGATTTTAGCTGATTTTTACCTTTTTTAGGACATGCGTTTATTACGATTTCTGTCGTGCCAAAGCACGCGTGGGCGGCGATTACTTTTTCATAGCCTATCAACCTACGCGTTTCCATTGTCTAACGAGATGGTTTGTTTTTAAAGTGTGAGACGTTAGAATTTAGCGATTGTTTTTCATAATAATGCATTTTTTAATTTTATGGTTTTTTGCAAATGATTTTTAGAAGCTCTTCGCGTATGCTCACGCAGCGGCCCTTGGAATTAGCCCGTTCCCAGGCGCCAGTAAATACGAGAGAAATGGCTGGGAATTGTTTGATGCCAGAGCAGAGTTGCAGCGGATAGGTATTTTTTTTTTGATTTTGAGCCAAATATCCTCAATTTTTTCTAGTCAATGCGGCAAATGCCAAGGACGTGTGGGCGATATCCGGCATCAATTGCATGTACGAATTCTCGCCAACCTACCCATCTGTGGTCTGTTTTAATTTTTTACAAAAACAGCTTGATTTTCAGCTCGGCGTTCCCCGGGAGGCTATGAAGAAAAAGGAATTTTTGGAAAAGGTCGCTGACTTCAGGAGTCGACAGCGGATTCCGGTAACTTTTAGAACTTTCGCAATATCGGGGGTGGGGCCAAGTAGAAAAGTTTTTAAAATCTCAGATTTTTCTCGAAAATCGTTAGTTTTGGTCGAAAAATCGTTTTTTTTCTGTGTTTAATCGAAATTTGTAAAGTTTTTAATTTTAGGTACAACGAAAAGCGTTTTAGAAGCATGGTGCGAAGAACTCGATAATTTTTTTCGTATTTAGGCGCTTTCCTGGCTACACCCCGTCCACAAAACATCTATCACCCGATGCGCGCAACCGCTGACCGGCGTGACGATGAAGCGGAAAGAGGAGGACGAAGCGTGAGTTCTACTGCGTTTAATTTATTTGGTCTTATAGACTGATGGAAATGATCCTCCGAACGACCAACCAAACACAACCATTGGCCATTTTCGACGCACGGCCTATGCTAAACGCTGTGGTATGTATTAAATCAAAAAAATTGCACGAATTTTTAGGTAAACAAAGCGAAAGGCGGCGGCTGGGAAGAAAAGACGAATTATAGCATGTGCGAGCTCACATTTCTTGATATTCACAATATCCACGTCGTCCGAGAATCGTAAGTTGTTGTCGACCGTTTTGTAGCCTTCTTTTAGCTTGCAAAAGCTTCAATCGGCGCTATTCCCGAAAATCGACGAGGTCAACTACTTGAAGCAGATCGAAGATACAAAGTGGTTGCAGCATATTAGGGTTTGGATTGTCGGGAATTCGTTAAATGGGTAATTTTAGTCAATCTGCGAGGGTGCAGCCGAAATGGCATATCTCGTCGAGGAGGGCCGATCTTCAGTTGTCGTCCACTGCTCTGATGGCTGGGATCGTACGGCGCAGCTGGCCGCCCTCGCCCTCGTAATGCTCGATCCATACTACCGTAGCGTCGAGGGATTCGCGATTCTGATCGAGAAGGAGTGGTGCAGCTTCGGCTTCAAGTTTGCGCAACGGATAGGTGGGTTTATTTCGACAATTTTTGGAGTATTCAGAAACGTGAAACTTTGCGCCGCTTTACTAAAAAATGCAAAAATGTCGATTTTTCTATCAAAATTTAAGCGTTTTTCCAAACTTTCTGAGTTTTTAAAATGTTTCTACAATGTTTCTGCTATTTACAAAAATAAAAACATTGCAGATTTTGGCTAAGGGGTAAGATATCGATTCGCCGATCAAAATCCAAATTTTTAAACTTTCTAAAGCTTTCTAACGGCTAAGAGCTATAAACACTGAAAATGTGGCTACAATTTTAGGTGTTACGGTTGGATTTTGTGTTTTTGTACTATGGAACTCTTTTTATTACATTGCTACACATAGAAAAAAAACCGTTGCTCCCGACCGCAAGCTGCAAATTTAGGCCATGGCGAAAATAAGGCGTCTGACGACGAGCGCTCGCCGATCTTCGTCCAATTTATGGACTCCGTTTGGCAGCTGATGCGTCAGGTAATAATTTTATCGTGTAATTTTATCCAGAATTTTAATTCTTAGTTCCCCGCCCACTTCGAGTTCACCTCCAGCTTGTTGATCTGCATCCTTGACGAGCTGTACTCGTGCCGATTCGGCACTTTCCTGTACAACACGGAAAAGGCACGCCATGTGGAAAATGTGGGTTTTTAAGTGGTTTTTCGAGTCATTAATTTCAGGAATGTGCAACTCAAACTGTTTCCCTGTGGTCGTACGTGCTGGAGGAGAAGCGGCGCTTCTTGAATCCGCTCTACATCGATAACAGGAATCGTCAAGTTTTCCTGAAGATGAACACCCGGATTGCGGTAAGGCTAATTTTTCTCCTTATTGTTAATCGGTATGTTCAGTTCATTCACGTCTGGGAAGAGTACTACGCGCGCTACAACCCGGATATCACCTCTCCGTCTTACGCGGTAATTTATCTGATTATTGCTCTTTTTTTGTTTCTTAATATGATAAAATGCGGGGAAATATGACTTTTTGCTCTGTACCAATTTTTTAATATCAATATTGACGTTAAGCGGAAAAATGTTGCAACATTTTGTTAAAAACTTTAAAAAACCGTTTTTTTATTTAATTTACAAACGTTTTTAAGCTTCATTATTTTTCCCCTTTTAGATTACAAATAATGTAGTTTTCAACTTTCTTGTTAAAAATCTTAAGTGGGCAAATGCTACAAAACTTTTGTTAAAATATTAAAAAAATTATTAAAAAGTGGATTTTTGACCAATTTGGAAATTTTGAAACGTTTTGCAAGCTTTTTTACAAAATTATTCTATCTCTATGAAATTAAATATGCCATATCACGAATATAGTAGAATAAACCTGTTAAAATAAACATTACAAACAGCTTTCCATTTAGGAACACAACGACAATATGGACCGATTTTCGAGGGACCTGGTGCGTTTTTTAGATTTTTCCTGAGTAATTTTATTTTCTAGCTGAAGCAGCAACGACATCGGCTACACCCTGGCGGCTAAAGATATGGCATTTTTGTGTGTTTTTTTTTATTTTCGGGTGCTCCTCACTTCACTTCACTTCTTTTCACCTCTAACATCATCATCATCATCAATCCCAATGTGATAATTCTTACGCAGACACCCTCCGGTTTGTTTTTTGGGTACTGGACTGTTAGCGGGGGTGATTTTAATCCGGTATGGCCCGATACCGAAATAGAAACCATATTGAATTTTACAGTTTTTGGCCAACAAGTTTATAAAAATTTTTGAGGTTCGAAAATCTGAATCCTTGTTCAAAAATTTCAAAATTAAATAAAAATTTTTCCTGCTGTCTGGCATGATCCAGGAAAATACAAGTAAATGCGTCCCCCCGCTAAGAGTCAAGTACCGTTTTTTGGTCACCTCGGCTTCTCCTTGAAATATATATCGGCTGCTAAGTCTCCATTTCCTGTGTGTGACATTTTCGTGATAGGACCGGATTATAATTTATATCGTTTATCTCATCTTCAAAAAAACCATAATAATCAACCCCCTGAATTCATAAGGGGGATCTGCTAGAAGAATAAACATCCTTATACAATGTATCGCTGAGGGGAAAGATCACAAGAACTGAGGCATTTTACCCGTATTGTTTTCGGTATACGAAGTCGAGCTAGATACGTTAAATTGGCACTCGTTTTTGGGGAATGTTTTTTTTTTGTGAGCAAATAATAGCTTCGAAAAATTGAGCAGCAGTTAGAAAGATATCACAGGTTTATGGGGAATTTTTGGTACTTGTGCATTATCAGGGGGATTTTCCTAAGTGTCCAGATATGCCTTGTAACGCAATATGGCGCTATTTCAGTTTACCGGCCCCACTTATATATGGCCAAAATTACATTTTTCTGGGTCAGTTTTTTGTGCTGGTTACGGAAAACACTATCCCGGCCCACGAAAATGCGATTTAGAAAAACAATTTAATTGGAATGTTGGGAAAATTCCATTTTACGGCGGTCGCGTAAAAGGAGTATTTTTGTGGTTTTTTTAATTAAATACTGGCCAAAAACGGGTTTATCATGAATGAAGTAAGCCAGTAACATTGTCAGGCAAGGCGGGCCGTCGCTTCGGATGAGCTGCCGCTCCACTCTTTCGAAATCGGGGCGCCTGGCCGCTTCGCGCGCCTCGGGCGCCCCTATTTCGAAACCCTGTACGAGCTCGCGCCCATCCGAAGCGACTAGGCCCCCGGGTGGCACGAAGCCTTATTTTTAGGAAGAAAAGCGGATGCAATCGCTCAGCCTTCTTGGATAAAACTTTTCCACTGATTTACAGGCCTCCCGCATCAAAACCCCTTTAAAAACTCAAACGAGAAAAACCGAAAATTATGTGTTTTCTCCCCTCAAAATTCACGATTTGGCGTTCTAGATTTAGGTAGAAAAGTAATTTTTTTCCTCATTAGATTGCATTTTTACGAGCTGGGATGTCTTTTTTCGTAACCAGCACAAAAAACTGACCCAGAAAATTGTAATTTTGGTCATATATAAGTGGGGCCGGTAAACTGAAATAGCGCCCGCAATATTATTAGGCAAATTTAACGATATTTCCGGTACAAACGTATCTAAAACTCCAATGTTCAATTTTTCTCAAAGATCGGCTATTTTTTAGAGAAAAAAACCCGATATTTTTCAAAGTTTTTACTTATAGAAAAAGGCTATTAGAAAAACGGACTCCCCTGATAATGCAAAAGCACCGCAGTTTTGGCTTATAATAATAGACTAGAAACAATGCATCGGATTTTTCGCTTTCCTACTTCCCGGTGAGGTTGACCATCTCCGGGTCCGGGTCTTTAGAAAGTAGCCTTCGCCGCGTCATCGGAGCGCTCAATTTATCCGCTTTTTCATCGCCCAGGTCCGATTCCTCCTCTATCACGTCGTTCTCCAGCTCGTAGATCGTCTCCGGGATGTTGGCTTCACAGTCCTGCAAAATAGTTGGCACGTTTTATTGCGATTGTAAGGTCATATTTAGCTTTTTATACGTTAGAAAAGAGCAAACAATCGTTTAGGTGTCTATAGAAATGCCCGGAAACGATTATTTTTAACTTACGAGGAGGTACGAGACCCGGGAAGTCCGATTCGTCCGCACCGTTGGCTTTTCGTTGGCCAGCCGCGCGTTGATCTCGTTTAAACTGCGCTAAAATGGAATATTCAGAAATATCATATTTTTGAAAAGTTAAAGTTAAAATTGTTATTAAAGATAAAGCTTTACAAACCCTCGAAGATTGCCGGCTAGTTCCATCGCCCTTCTCGTCGAGCTCCCCGTTTTCGATGCAAATCGACGTCAGCTGCGAGCCGTCATTTTTGCCCCAAGGCTCGGCGTTACCTATAAAAATTTGCTTTGAGGTTTTTTAGGTTTTAAATCGTTTCGCTTTTTAAGTTTTTTTTTGGCCCACCATGCCCCCAGATTTGGTAGAAAAGGCCGGCGATGATGAGAACGAAAGCGAGCATCAGGTAGACGGTTCGCCATTCTTCGTACGTGCCCTGGAAGGGGTTGAATTTTTTCTTTTCTCTTTCGCTATGTCTCTCTTTCTCTCTCTCTCTCTCTCTCTCTCTCTCTCTCTCTCGTACAGCTACCTTTCTCGTGATTATCCCAATGAGAAACGGGGCCAGCAGGCTGCCAATTTGCGAGTAAAACTGTTGATAGGAAGAGATCGTAGCCGTGAACTAAAATAATTTCCTGGGTAGTTTTTATTTAATATTAAGTGCTAAATGCTTTCAAGCTTTTGGAGGACTTGGAAGTGGGGTAAGTAAGTAATATTTTGGCAAAAAAACCCGAAACCACTTGGTGATTTCGCTGAAAACGAGGTAAAAATAAAGAAACTACGAAAATGTTTCTTGAATTTACCCACCTCCGGCGCAACGCACACCACGGCCGTGTTATACCCAGGCACAAAGGCCCCAAACAGCGCCATAGCGGCGCAGACGCACAACATCGACAGGGTCGGGCTGGCCGCGGCGAGCGGGGCGGCAACGATGAAAAAGGAGGCGGCGAAGGTTGCTAAAAATTAAGGTAGCTTAATAGGTTAGCAAAATTAAAAAAAAACATTTTCCAAATTTTAAATTTTTTCGAAATTTCGGAAATTTCGGGTCTTTGGCTTTCGAAAAATTTATTTTGAAATTTTCGAAAGAACGACAAAACGAGCTTCCGAAAATGTGTATGGAAATCGTCTAAGCATTCCCCCGGGGCTTACCCACTCCATTGAAGGCCCAGGTCACTGCTGTGCTGCTGCATCCGCGCTTCTTCATCGCGTCCGCCCACATGCCGAACAGCATCTTGGTGGCCGTCTGCACGAAGAAGGGCACCGAGCACCACATGCCGTTCTGGAAAATAAAAACTAGATACCGGTCTAAAAACCTGAAATATACAAAATGTGAATTTTAGAGTGGCGCAGTAGTTAGAGGGTCTGTCCCTTAATCTGGGGGCCCGGGTTCGATTCCCTTGGCCGGTAAGCTTTTGCTTTTTGCTGAACAAAGATGTTATGCGGTCAGAATCCAATGAAATCAAGAAAAGCTTGTAAAAACTGACGGTGGCCACATCCATGCCCAGCGCCTCCTGGTTGAACTTGGGCAGGTAGGTGATCATCGCCACGAGGACGAACGACTGCGCGAAGGCGTTCACGCAAATAGCAGACACACAGCGAGAGAACAGAATCTGGAAAAGGATTGTAAACAATCAGCAAAAAAGAAATTACCTCTTTCCAGGGAGTTTTGAGCACGACACTTTTCGCTCGGCTTTTGATGCCGCGACGGCCTGGAAAATCATTTAAAACTAAGTTATAAGCGCGAAAACACACTGCTTCTCCCTCTCGCTCTTTATCTATTTCTCTCTCTGTCGCTCACACTCTCCCTCTGTCTCTCTCTCAGTCTATCTCACTCTCGCTCTCTGTCTATCAATTGCTCTCTCTTTTCGCTCTCTCTCTCTCTCTCCCTACCTCTCTTTCTCTCTCATTCTCTCTCTCTCTCTCGCTCTCTCCCTCACCTGTAATATACTCCAATTCCGTGGCCGTGATATATTTCGAACAGCGTGGTCGCGAGCTGCCCCTGAACTGCCAGATGATGACGTAGACGAGGGTGAGGAGGCCTATAAAGTCCTATTAAACTTAAAGCGAGCGTGACACTAATTTACTAAAAACGAATACTAAAAGCCCTTACCATATCCAATGAAAGCTAGGGGCCAGCCGCCGCCCCACGTGGCCTGGCACAGCTTGGCGGTGAAGATCATCGACAGGCCGATGCCGAGCTGGAGTTTAGGCGTTAATTAGAGAGAGAGAGAGAGAGAGAGAGAGAGAGAGAGAGAGAGAGAGAGAGATGTACTTACCTGATTCCCGGTGGTGAATACGGCCACAGCAGTGCTTTTCTCGGTCATCGGGAACCATTTGGAGATGATGAACAGGCCGCAAGGGGCGATGAGGCCTGAAAAGCTTGTCTTTTTTGACTACTTTTATGCGAGAAATACAGTGAGAGAGCCTTCGCTAATTGAGAGAGAGAGAGACAAGGAAAGGCGAGAGATAGCTACGCTCTTCGAACCCACCACTCCCAAATCCCATCAAAAACCGCACGGCGGCGAGGTACAAATGATGTTGTAGCAGAATGACGGAGAACGGCGCACAAATCGACCCGATCGCGTTTAGCAGTAGCGCTACTGACAGCACCGGTTTCGGGTCGTATCTGAAAAAGGTAATCTCTATCGCTCTATCGCGCTCTCTCTCAGTCTCTCCCTCTCTCTTTCTCTCTCTCTCTCTCTCTCTCTCTCTCTCTCTCTCTCTCTATCTCTCTCTCTGTATCTTTCTCAGCTGATCTCAAAAATTTGAGGGAAAGCAAAAGCAAAAATTTGGCCTCGGACGGGGTCGAACCCGAGCCTTTCAGATGGCAGGCGAGAACATTACCGCTCAGCCATTGGCTCACCTTCGAATAATGTAGTCTGTAGCGAGGATGGCGAGAAAGGCACCGATATAATATGCGGTGTGGATCCGGCCCTGCTCCTCGGAGGTCCAGTCCACTTGGTATTCTCTCTTAAAGCAGAATTTTCCCTGGCCTTTAAAAGCATTGAAACTGAAAGCAGGGCACTTCCCCTTTAAAAAGCAGATATTTTAGCTGTCACCATCCCTTTAAAACGCAAATTTTCTAGTTAGCATTGTCCCTTGAAAATGCGCGTTTTTGTACCGGGAATTATGTCTTCGAAAAAGAGCTTTTCCGCCGCTTTTCGAGCTAGCACACGGCTTAAAATCTGCCTTTTTGAGCTGTCGCCACCCCTTTAAACTCACATTAAATCGATCCTCCGCCGGCGCCGCCACCGTGGTGTCATTGTTATTGGCCGTAGTCGGGAACACGTTCCTCGCCACGATACAAACGATGGCCAACGACATGCTGCCCCTCATCAGACTGTTGCACGCCATCGCCATGCACAGCAACAGCGCCGTCTGCAGGCGCACCGCGTCGCGCGACCATAGTTCTGAAACGGAAAAGTTCGTAGTAGAAAAATAGAGAAAATCTCCAAATTGCTAGCTCGTTTTTGTGTATAATTTTATACTTTTTTAGTATTAAATTTTTCAACAACCGTTTATAAAGCATTTTAGGCATTTTTTGGCATTTTTCAAAATGTTCTGGCGAATTTGCGTTTTATTTTCACGCTTTTAAGGTTAAATTATTGGCCAAAACGGCATTAAGATGAATTAAAATGCTCCAAATCTGGTTAAAATACCTCTAAAATGATTTTTATGTTTTTCCAGCTATGCGAAACCACTAAAAAACAGTAAAAATCTTCAAACAAAAGACCATAAAACTTTCAGTTCAAAAACCCTCATAATCCCATACCCAGCTCCATCCCAAAGTACGCGACGAATTCGGGGCGGCTACACGCGGCTACTCATGACGGACCGACCAAATTCTGCACCCTTCCCCCTCAACTCACCGATTCCCCCGATAAGAAAGCGCGCAAAAAATAGGCTGTAAATGTGATGGATGGGGGCCCAGAGTGTCATTTTCGAAGTACCACGAAATTTGCGCGCAAAAGAGCGAAGCTGATGAAGCGGATCTGGCGGAACAGGGTTCAAAGTTTAGCGTGCAAAGTCGGGGAAAATTAAAAAAAAATAAAATGCCGAGATTCAAAAATAGCGAAAGCTAGAATACCGACACCAAGATTCTCGAACGCCATGTTCCGGGCCTTCAAAATACCGACAGTCAAGCCTCGAGGTGAAAAATGCCGACATTCAAAATACCGGCAGCCAACACCCCGACTGGCAAAATGTCGACGGCCAAAATCCCGACTTTCAGATTCCTGAAGGCCAAAATGCCGATAGCCAAATCCGCGGATGGCAAAATGCCAAACAGCCAAAATGCCGACAAGCTAGTCCCAAGGCCAACGTCCGTATGTCGGCATTTTGGTTGTCGCTATTTGTTATGGGGATTGTCGGCGTTTACGCTGTCGGCGATTTGGTTGTCGGGATTTTGGGTAAAAATCTTTGCCACCCGGATTTTGGCTGTCGGCATTATGGTTTACGGCCTTTTGACCGTCGGGATTTTAGTCGTCGGCATTTTTGGTGCCAAAATCTATGCCATCGGAATTATCGCTGTCGGTCTTTTGGCTGTCGACATTTTGGCTAGATAGATTATGGCCGTCGGCACTTTTGCTATCGGCGTTATGGCTCGGAAGATCTTTTTTATCGGTGTTTTGGCTGTCGGGATTATGGCTCTCGGTATTTCGAAAGCCGGGATTTCGACCGTCGATGGTTTTAAGGTCGGCATTTTGGCGTTCCCCAGTGGCCGAAAATGCAAACCTGAAAAACTTACTCTGATTCCGTTTGCTCTCCTCGATTGCCCGGATGGCTTCTAGGGCCTTCGGTGACAGCAGGGCCTCGCTCATTCACCGGATCTCAATTTCGGGGATTTTTGAGGTGGCAGATGGAATGTCGAAATCCGGAAATCACAAAGCTACGGAATAATCGGAAGGCGCAACCACGCCACCACCACCATCAAATCAAAGCAAAACGAAGGGAGGAGGGAGGGGAAGAAGATCGACGGACAAACAAAAAGGTGTCATTTCCCGCGGGGGGGACCCGGGTAGATAAGCTCGGACCTGGCTGGCAGGAAGGGGGCAAAGTTTGGACTAGCTCGCCCTCACCCTGAGCTTTTATGAGCTGTGCTCCAAAAGCGCGTTCCCGAGTCACTACCCAAAAAAAACCAAAATTTTCATTTATTCCAAAAAAGTTATGATTCAGAAAAAGGGTACTGGGCTGTTAGCGGGGGGGGGGGGTTAATTTGTATTGCCCGGCTATACCTTTTCCGTCGATTTATTGTCATATCATGTCTTTTTATAGTGCTTTCAGTCGTTTTTGGCTGCTAGAAAGATACAAAAAATGTTCAAGGCACTTGGAAAATCAAAATTTGGGTTATTTTTGGATATTTTTCAATACCTTTTTCGCCAAAAACCACCATTTTCAAAATTAATGTTATTTTTAGGAGCTGTTATACGTCGAAAAACTGTTCTGTATCGAAAAACGTCGAAAAACTGTTTATTTAGTTTTTTTTGGTTGTTTTTAACACATTTTTGAGAAAAATTCAAAATTGTTCTAAAATTATTTGAATTATTTGGTTCATTTTTATCAGCTTTTTATAACTAAACCCGTGTAAAATGCGATAAAAATAATTTTTATTGCCTTATAGGCCCTAGGCGAAAACGGGGAAAAATTGTCCCCCCTCCGTTCAGCGAGAAGAACCAAAATTCCTAAGAAATCCGGATTCTATTAATCGGAAACTCCCAAATCGAGTCATTCACACGTCAAACCCGGGCCGGCAGAAGGTGCAAAATGATGGGACTCGATTAGAAAGGCGCTGATGCAGTCAGCCAAGCCAGCTGACCGCCAAAGGCTTATCTCCGGCGTGAAGTTGTGTGCGGAAGCCTGAGGCGCCCGGCAGGACAAAGAAGCTAGCTGCTGCCATACCCGGGGAGCTAAAGCCGATTATGCCCTATACAGTGCACGGAAGCGCTTCAAAGCCCAAAACGTGCAAATGTTGAAAGGCTTGAGCTTGGCTTGTTTTTCGCAATTAAGCGAAATCTCGAGGGGCATTATCCGGGGTCAACCTTTTTTCCAATTTGGCGAATATAAATAATGGAAGTGTTTCTAAATGGCTTTTTTACTATCCCTAAGCTTGAAAACTGCACAAATTTTTATTAAAAAATCTCGAGTTTTGACCAAAATAGCCGATTTTTGACTCGTTCAACAACTAAGGTTTTTAGCATAAGGTTTTTTGTTGCGACATTGTTATATTTTACGAAAAACCCTGATAAAAACGAAAATTTAAGTTGAAAAATGAAGCTTTCTTCGTCGAACCGGAAAGGCGCAACTCGATTGCAATTTTGAAGAAGTTTTTGGGCATGACTAGCATAAATTATGGGCACCACCCAGGGCAAGGGACAATATGCCGATATGGAATTGATGGAAAAACTAGTTTCGAGGCGCCAAAATCGGCATAAAAAGATGAAATTAAGAAACTAGACGTAGGCTACGAAAAAATAAAAGCCGTGCCTGAAAAATAAGTCTAGAAACCACTAGCAAAGTAAAAAACTGGCGCAGATTTAACAAAAAAGAAAAGACCAACGTATAAAACGTAAAAGACAGTCTAGAAAAGGATTTTTTAAAAAGATTCTTTATCCTATAATTTCTAGAAACAGGTAAAAAAAAGTCGAAAATTGGAAAAACTTGGCGTAGACCTAAAAAATGCCAAAAATACTGTATAAAATAGTCTAGAAATTCTTCTAGACAGATCCGTCATACCAAAATTTCTAGAGAAAGATAGACGTAGTAAAACCAGGAAACGCCAATGCCTAAAAACGGCCAGAAACAACCACAAGCTAAAGACGAACACCAGCAAGCCCCCAAATTAGCCGGCCCGTTTCCGGTACGATTTCCTTTTCGCCTCTGTGCTCACAATAATTGATCTGCGGGCAGCGCGGTGGTGATAGAGATCGGGCAAAGATGACGGATCGACGATAACGCATCGACAAATTGGAGGAAATGACAAAAAGGCAGAAACTGGCAAAATGGGCAGAACGGCAACATGATGGTGATGATGCGCCCATTCAGACACTGGTAACGTTCAAAAAAGTAATCAATTACCTCACAAGGGACCGTCGGCCCACAAAAAACATGGCTGCCAAAAAGGCGGAAAGAGGAAGAAGGCAAGAAAAAGCGAGGTGAGTGGAGGAGAATGAGGGGCAAAAGGAAACACGTCGGCTGGCTCTCGACCTCGGCCTCCTCCCGTTTTTTGTGGGGCTGCAAAATGGTCCGGATCTTTTATTGTCCTCCTTGAGCACGAGGTTTTAATGGCCAGAAACACCGGTCCTAAGTGACAAATTTAAACAAACAAACTCCCCCTTTTTTAGCTTACAAAACGTTTTTACAGCCATATCATTTCGTCGAAACCTCTAATTTTTACAAATCATGGAAAATAAATTAGCAAATTTCTTTTTAAAAATTAGGTTTTTAAAAGCACGATTTACCCAGCCATTCCAGTAAAATAGCTGCGTGGTGCTCCTATGCACGTACAACTGTAGGTGAACGGCGTAATTTGTTCTTTCTAGGCCGAAAACCCCAATTTTGTGAAAAATCATGATTTTTCTCGAAAGTTTCATAGACAAATCGAAAAACAAAATAGGTTAAAATGTTTGACGAAAAATGGCGCCTATTTTGATTCAATACCTACCTCTGCAAAATCAAAAATCAAATTTAAAAAATTAAAACTTGTCATATTTTTGAATTTTAATAATTTGAGTTAAACTATCTAAAAATACATACGCCTCTTAACAAGATCCAAACATTACCGCAAACTGTTTACCCCGCCACGGTGAGTTACGTGAGGGCGGCGCGCAAAAAACTTGGGCGCGTACAAAGGCGACCAGCAGCCAGCCGGGGCGCACAAAAGACCTAATCGCCAGTGTCAATACTCAACGCGCCGTCGGGGCCGGCGTCGAAATTCGATAAACACAGGCTAAGCACTACCTGAACTGATCTGTCAGCATTCGGGATCAGAAATCCGGAAAATTCGAGGAAAAACCTTCAAAAACAAGCTCCAAAGGTACTGGACTCGTAGCGGGGGGAGGAGCCGGCGGTCAAATTCATGATACTAACGCCCGCGCCGTTTTTTAAATATAGAAAGTTCACAAAAAGCGTTTAAATCAATTAAATTTTCATTTTTTCTCTAAATGCGAAAAATTGCAACTTTGAAAGTTTTTAACACTTTTTGGTGAACTTTGCGTATCAAAAACACTCTAAAACATTACAAAATGTGACGTAGACTAGTTAGCTGAGCTTGCCCCCCCCTAACAGCCCAGTGCCTATAAAAACCCCCAAAATGTATGAAAAGCGATCCAGAAGTTCAATTTTTTGATTTTCTAACAATGTTTTGATGAGTTTTTAGTGTCAAAAACTGATTAAAACGCGAGAAATACACGATGAAACACTTAAAACGGTGAGGTAGGCTTATTGATAGGCTATAGCTTAGCTTCCACCCCCGCTAACAGCCCAGCTCCCCAAAAAATCAACTACCCGCCCGGAAGCATGTGCTTTGTCCCGGGCCTCTAGAATGACCGGGGAAGTGCCCCCTGCAAAAGATTAGATTCCAATTTGACGTGGTGCCCGGCCGGCGTGGGAGCAAACATCGAAGCACGACGATGAGGGGGTGTGGAGCAGATTGGGCATCCGGTGAGTGCCGGCTAAAAGAGGGCGCCGTTAATTGAATCCCGGAGGTCGGGAGGAGGAGGAGGAACAAGGTGAAGCTCATCTCTTTGAGCACCTTTCAAGTAGCCCCGTTTCCAGGATCATGCTCAAAACTAAAAAATCCAGCTCGTTTCACCTCAATCTCTCTAAAGCAAGCTTCTTTGACTTGCGCTCGTTAGTTTGGATCTGGTTCATTAGCAGGAGGGGGGGGGGGACTGGTTTCAGCGTTTCTGTACATGCTCTATAAAGAATTATAAACTTTTTATAGCATTTTACGCCTTTTTTAGCGATGAAAAGCTCTTAAAAATAATTAAAAATTTCGAAAATTTTGACGAAGCTGTATGAAAACGCGGAAAAAATCGAAATCTTCATTTTTAAGGTAATTTTAAGTTAATTACCTCAAAAAACACTATTACTGAAAGTCAAAAACTACAAAATAATATGTATGCCATTACTATGGAGCGTAGGGTGCGTAATTTCAGCCCCCCCCCCGCTAACGACCCAGTACCGTCTATTTTGGGTAAAATCAAACGTCAAGAACGTGAAAACCAAAAAACTCCTCTGGATAAGTTGCCATTTATTCGCAAATGAAAGCAGAAACGAAACAGACACCATGCAGAATGTGCTAAAAGGTGGATAGGGGCGAAACGGAGACACGATCGTCTCAATCACAATATAACACGTTAACAGCCGTACCCGCTTCCGATTCAAAAAACAAATGTGATGCGTGAGGCACATACAACAAAGATAAACGATCCGAAGGGGATCTGTAAGAAAGGGCTGGGTTTAACCGAGTGTGAGGGACTAGTAGCGAGTTTTGTCAACGTCGTTGGAGGGCGCTGCGGGTTATTCTCCGAGCCCGGGAAGCTCGGACTCGCTCGAACGCTCGAACACCTCTTCCTTGATGGTCAGCACGTAGACGCAGCTTTCATGGAAGTACTGAAAAAGGGTATTGAAATTTATTAATTATTTTTTATTAATTCTATTTATTTAAAACTCGACTTCCACCTAAAAACAACGAGGAGCCTTATAGACTGGTAATCGAGTTTTGAGGTTTCACGGCTCTTTCGCGTTATCGGGGGGCAACGTTTTTCTTATTTTTTAATAAATAGCGGATTCCTTCTAAACGATTTCCTACTATTCCTGGACGTAAACCCTTAGAAATCGACTCAAAAATACAAAAATATCGATTTTTCGAGCAAAAATGGCCAGTTTTCGACTAAAATTTCGAGTACAATTTTTTATAGGTTACTTTAATTGTTTTTCGCGTTAAATATAGCTGGATTTTACTAAAAAAGGCTTACAACACTTATTATTAAGTTAGTAGACACCAGGGTTGAAAAGCCGCTTCGCGACTTTTCAACCCTGGCCCCGTCCAACGCTATGATATCCCTCACTTTGCATAAACTTTCCGCACTTTTATGTCACAGAAATGAAAAGCGCGTCCTCTCCCTGATTATATAGGCTACTCCCACTTCCGGCGTATGCTAATTTTTTCCTAACAAAGAGGTTGTCCGATTTTTAAGGAAAAACTTAATTTTTATGTCGAAAACAATCGAAATTGCAAAATCTGATATGCGTGCAGTCATCTACACGCCATTACGCGTCTAATGACGTATCATACGCCCCCTTCATCCCTTCTCCTCTTGAGATATCCTCCGGACACGCTGACGGAAGTTGCATGCAAAGTGGCACACACACACACACAGACACTATTTTTTTATATATAGTAGGATTTCTGGGATTCATGGAAACCTCCCCCGATAATGCGAAAGAAAAAGTCGTATTGCAAAACTCTATCATCATCCAAAAAAACAGCTCCATGTAAGACTAGCGCTGACCTGTCCCTGCGAGATGACACAATCATTCAGAAACCAGACTTCTTCGTCGTCGTCAAAGACCCGTTTGAAGCTGTCACGACACGCGAAGCACACCTTCTTTCCGGTATCGCCAGCCGCCAGTCGAGCCGTCGCTTAAAAAGTGGGTGTATTGTAGAAAAAAGCTAAAATACTCGGAGCTCTCGGAACGTTCTCTTTCTCGGCCTCCTTCACAGACGTGGCTTCGTTTTGGCCAAAATCAGAGACCCAAACCTAAAAACCACGTTCATATATGGCCATCGTATTCCAACGTACCTCCAGGCTCACGTACCACCGGCGTTGCTTGTTCAGGGTATTTTTCGGTTCTTTGCGAAGATTCTCTTTGACGTGCGTTTCCAGGTGCTGCTTGTAGCTAAAAAATTAAGTCAGAAAGATGAAGAGCGGCTACCCGTTGTCGTCAAAGATGTCTTTCCTGATTCCGCATTTCGGGCAGCAGTTCTTCTTGTCGTGAAGCTGGGCGATCACCGAATCGTAACAACTAAACAAGGTCAGTAGAGCAACTAAAGAAAAATCGATTACATTTTAAAATTGCGAACGTTGAAGCTGGTCAAGTCGGGCGGGTGTGGACGGCGAAGGGGACCTGTCGGGATTGGCACCGGCGTGTTGTCGATCATCGACTGGGCTGGGGGCGTCGTCTGCTTGCAGGTACGCAGGATGTACTTTAGGTAGTCGCTGAGGTGGATTTCTAAAATACGCAAAAAATAGGGTGCTGGTTCGATAGCGGGGGGCTTTTTCCTGTTTCGGTGGACCCCATGAAGTATAAAAGGTATTTAAAATGGCATTTTGTTTCTTTTTGAGAAATAACAAGTTTTTCTGAATTAGTAAAATTTGCTTAAATTCTATAATTTTATTTATTAAAACGAAAAATTTGGAAAAAAGTGTATGAAAAACAAATAATGTACGATTTTTTAAGACGTCGAATTTCTTAATAATAGGAACTGTCGAAACTAAAACAATGTAAAATGTTTTGCTTATTGTAGTTATTGTAGTTTTGCTTGCTTATTACTTTATTTTGCTCATTACTTTGGCTAAATAAAGTCAGGGAGCAAATGCATTACACCCCCCGTTAATGAACAAGAGCTAATATTGCTTTATTTTAACTTTTTTTTTACAAACTTTTAACGATTTAAAAACTAAACTAACTTCCGTCATCGGTCATGTGCGAAGATTCCGCGACCGGCTTGGCGACGACGGGCGTCGGTGGTTGCGGCTTGCGGGCGACGTTCAGATGGCGGGCCAGTTCGTAGGCGGGTGTGGGCTCGACTTTTACCTAAAAATGCTTTTTTATTAAAACAGGACTCATAAAATATACCTCCGGCGCAGGTCCGCCCAGACGGATCTCGTGGCGAACGCCATTGATGGTCGCAAAAATTGGAGGGCCACCAAAGGTCCCCTAAAATTCTTACAATATTTTTTGCAAAAACGCCGTACCTTGAAAGGATAATCGCCCATAAACAGTTCCCTCGACGGGCCACCAAAACGAATCGCGTGCTCTTCGCCATCGATCAGAACTTGCTCAAAAGGTTCTTTTGCAGGATCGGGGGAGGGGGGTATCGGGGTACCAATTTCCATTTAAAAATACCAAGATATCGATTTTCGCTCAAAAATTACGATTTTCGAACCGTATTTCAGCTTTTTACTTCCTTGACTTCTCCGAGTTTTTGATGCTTTCTCCGCCCCAAATATAGTTAATTTTAATTAAAAAATACTAAAATCCTCAGTGTCACGTTATTAGCTATAGGAAAATGGCTTTCCCCCGATATTGCAAAAGCTCCAACCTTCGTTTCCCCGAAAGCCAGGGGATGACAGGTGCCGTCGATAATCACGTTCCTTGATCCACCGCCAAAATACACGCGATGCGGCCAGCCGTTGCGTTCGATGATCGGCGTCGTGTCAACGTACTCCACCTAATTAATGGAATTAAAACGCAAATTAATTCGTTTTCGAGCGATACGATGATTAAGAAACAAGTTTTAAATAAATATAAACCCGCCCACCTCGTATGCTTTTCCATCGAAGAAGATCCGGTTGTTCTCGGATACGCCTTCGATCTTGACGCCTTCAAGGTTGATGCGAGCTGTGGGCCTGTTGGTAGGGGTTTCCTGAAAACGAAAACATCATAAAAAAGAAAAGTAACGTTTTTACTACCCAATTTTCCTAATATAAATGGCAGAATTGTTTCTAGGCCCGCTTTTTACTATTTACAAACGTAAAAACGTTACAATTTTTTATTAAAAAATCCCTATTTTTCCATCGGAAAATAGCAAATTTTCGACTTCTACCTTTTGGGATCTAGTTAAATTGTTCTAAAAAGGCTATTAAAATTCTTACTATTACGTTACTAAGCATTTCTAGACTAGGAAAATCCCCCCACCCCGTTATTGCGAAAACACCTTAAAATATTGCAACGAGTTTATTACCTGAATGGACGGTTTGACATCCAAAGAGATTCCGCTGTGCTGCGTAAATGTGGGAGGAGCCACCTCTCGATTCGGCAATATCAGCGGCTTTACATCCAGCGGCTCGTCTTCAGGGTATTCATGGTGCGAAAGTGAAGGCGGAGCCCAATTTTCGCGTTGCTGATCAACCATCGCCGGTTGGTGATTGTTCATTTGCTGGCCAAGGCGAGGATCCTCACAGGGAGAAGAAGCCGGCGGGTAGTCCCGATTGTTGGACGGCAAAAACGGAGTCGCATCTTGGAGCCAGGACGAAGGATCGCGGGGTGGTTGCTGCGCATTGCTGAGCTCGTGCGGCGAAATGCTGAGCGCCCAGGGCGAGACGTTACGCGGTGGTTGGTATGGGACGTTGGTTGATTGCAGAAAAGACGGAGTTCCTTGAGGGATGTAGGGGAGATTGTCTTGAAGCGGGCGTGGGGCCCAAGAATTGATGGGTGGAGGCGGCGTCATCAGCATTGATGGAGTCTAAAAATTGGTGATTTTAGTCGCCAGAAAATCAGCTTTCGGCTCGCTGTCAGGGGTCAAAAATTATCATAATGCACGCTCTAACAAAATCCCCCTACGAATCAATCGAATTTCATATGATGATGATCCAAAAAAATTGCCTACTAAGCCTTCAAAAAGATATTAAAATGGGATTAAAGAATTAAAAAAGCTTAAAAAAGTTCCTTCCACGCGTGAATCGTACTATTCTGCGCAGTTGATATCGTAAATTCTCAACGGCCCGCCCAAATCGTTCGATTTTACCGCCTTTTTCGCTATTAGGCCGAACGAAAAATCAAACACCCAGCCGTAAGTCTGGCAAAAACACCAGAAGAAAAAAAAAAGCGTTCTGACGTATTGGCCCAGAATCGCGTGAAAGTGATCAAACGCAAAAAAAAGCAAAACGACGTGGCAATATTCTGTTAATAATCATAATTTTATTACAATTTGATGAAAATGTTGAGGAGGCGGCATCTGAGCTGGAGGCTGCTGGGGAGGCTGAGCGTTTTGCTGCAGTGCAGCGATCATCCCCATCGGGTTGACGAACGCGTGAGCGCCAGGCATCAACGTGGGAGGGAGCATTCCGCCCATTGGACGTGGAGGACGTTGCTGGAAATGACAAAATTCTACAGGTTGATCAAGCCGATTTTCACGATTTAGGTTTGTATCGAAAGCTCTCCTTGAGCTGCGGAAGTATGTTCTCTCCGATTTTCGCGATCTCCCAATTTATTTCTGAATTTTTCAAATTTTTCATGCAAAAGTTACACTCTTTTCTCGGCTTAATCGCCATTCAAGCTGTTTTTTTTTCGCAGATGGCTTCAAAAATTGACGACGAAAGGCATAAAAATTACAGAAATTTTATTTTTCTAAAACTCTATGGGGAAAAAGCATCGGAAATTTGGCCCAGCTCGCAAAAATCTTAGTAACATTATGAAAAATAGGGAATTTCGAAAATCAGCCCTGGCAGCTGGTCGAGCGCCTTTGATAAACGTCAAAATAAAAAAAGCACTGCGCATACCTCATTTTCCCTTGGTAGCGAACGTTTCTGTGCACGCGGTCCTCTATCACCGAAGATGCCATTCCGACAAGGCTCAAAATGCTCGGAGTGCCGACGATCCGTAGGGTGCGTGGTTTTCGCAAAATTTGCCGGTGGCGCGCTCATGTGATCACGACCGTCTAAAGATAACAGCATTAATTATACAATTTCAAATCCCTCACTTCTCCGCGTTGTCTGGTTCATCTCGCCATAACGAAAGTTTGGCCCATTGACTCGCGTGCAACCCTTCTCGAAGTCGTTGTGGGCTCCTTGAAGCTTATCAAACTGCAAAAATAATTTCATGGGTTGGACCTTGCGAAAATTACCTGTTTTTGCGACACCACTGGCTTGGTTTCAATTTTTTCGTCATCAGCCTCTTCTAAAAGACAATAACTAAGAAGGGCACTAAAAACCCACTCAATCGTTGCAACAGCCAAGCAACAATCTCCTGCGAGTAAATCCTGCGTTCGGCAAGGATTTTCAACACGCGCTCCATCACCGAATTGACCCTGTCACTTGCCCTAAATTTCTCAAATCGAGCTCAGGGATAAAATACATACTTTCCGAGTCTGATAGCAGAAATCAGGACTGGTTGGAAGGCAGACAGAAGTTCTGGCTGCTCCTTCTGACGGGCCTTCTGCACGACATCGTTCATCAAGTAGAAGAGCGCAACGCGCAGCTCATCGTTAGCTAGGATCCACGGTCAAGAGAGGAAAAGAAATAGAATACCTGCACGGAAAACATTCAACCAACAGTCGACGATCAAACGAATCTGGCCGTGATGTTGGAAGATCCATCGACGGATGCTTTCAATGCTATCCTGAAGTGATTTATCCTACCTTATATAATTTGGTCGCGTATCTTTGTCTGTGTGTGTGTGCGGAGGTCAGTTTCGAGGTCCGATTTGAGGGCCTTCCCGTGTCCAAAATGCCCTAATTCTCCGTCACTTCGGGGAATCGACCCTCCTCTTTTCGATGGCGTTCTCAGAATTTCAATAAAATACAAGTTTACAAAGTTAAAGCCGGTTTTATTCATTTTTGGGGGTCCCTGACTAGGGAATGGTCTCCACTCGACATCGAATTTCTTGTTGCAAGTTAGCTCATTTTGTAGATCTCGACGAGACGAATCGTTTGATGTAACTTTTAGCTGCCGATACTTTATTTTAACAAAGTTACAGCCCATTAAAGTTTTTGACCTACCTTCATAAGCCCTCCCCGCATCCCCCACACCGTGGCCTGGTGGCCTAGTGGCGTAGTAGGCCGCCTCTGGGGAATCTAACGAGGGTTCGAATCCGCTCACGATTTTTATTTTTTGCTTTTTGGTCCTAACGTTCCTTTTTGGATTTTCAGGAGTTAGACAAACTCTTTTTAGATTATTTAACCTTTATGAAAGTTTTAGAACGATAAAACGAGCTTCGGAAAATTTTGGGCTGAAGGCTCAACCCCATCATGCTCATACCTTTTTTTTTGGAGGTATATAATATACAAATCCATTCCAATGGCCACTCCTTCGAACAAAAAATTGTAAAGTTTTTTCCGAAGCCGTTTTTCGTACCAAAAACTTAATGGTGGTTAAATAATCTAAAAAGAGTTTGTCTAACTCCTGAAAATCCAAAAAGGAACGTTAGGACCAAAAAGCAAAAAATAAAAATCGTGAGCGGATTCGAACCCTCGTTAGATTCCCCAGAGGCGGCCTACTACGCCACTAGGCCACCAGGCCACGGTGTGGGGGATGCGGGGAGGGCTTATGAAGGTAGGTCAAAAACTTTAATGGGCTGTAACTTTGTTAAAATAAAGTATCGGCAGCTAAAAGTTACATCAAACGATTCGTCTCGTCGAGATCTACAAAATGAGCTAATTTGCAACAAGAAATTCGATGTCGCGTGGAGACCATTCCCTAGTGAGGGCTAATTTGCATAATGCGAGAAAATACAATTTCCTCATTCTTCCCAGTTGCATTCGCGCGTGTGGTCGGCCGGGGGGAGGGGGGTCCGAAGGACCCGAGCTATCGGAAAGCCAAATTTCTTAGGCAAAGGCCGAATTCCAGCGCCCAAGCCCCGCGAAGCGGGTTTTGGGCGCTGGTTTTCAAAATAAAAAACGGATCACAACCAACCGCATTGCCAACAACGGTGCCCAAGTGTTTGTGGATGACTTCTGCTGATAAAACCATCCCTAAATGAAAAAGTGAAAGTGGGAAAACGTGAAGCTAAACGGAGGAATTTGTTAGTCATTCTTGTAAATTTTTGGGCGTCAAATCATCGATCGGCTGAGTATTTTGACATATAACATCATAGGTTTTAGTTAGATGATCGTTCAGGCGAATTATTTCAAAAATACAGGACAAAAATAGAGCTTCTAAAGTTTCTAAAATTTATAAAGTTAAAATCACGACAATATTTCTGAAATTCCGGATAAAAATCGAGATTCCGACCGTTTCCCTGTGCAAAAAACGTCATTTGTGGTGGACGGAACGGGATTTCCGATTTTTCGCCAAAAAGAAATTTTTTTGAAAGAGCTATAATAATAATTAAAATATTTCAAAGATCAGTTGTAATAGAAATTGTAAAGCGCATTTGATTGTTTAGTAGAAATATTTTGCGGGGTTTGTGGCCGGGGGCCTGTGGCTAACAACAAATGGCGGAGTTTCGAAACACCATATTTTTATTGCGAGAGGCATTGGCTAGGTGATTTCTTGCAAAAGGATAAAAATCTCAGCTTCCGGTCGTTTTCGCTGTAATTTACTTCTATAGAACTTCTTCTATCGCCTGTATACAAGTTGTGGCGTTTCGAAACACTGTGATAGAATTACTAGGTGGTTACAGGCTACTGCTGGTTTCCTAAAAAATTTCCAAGATTCGATTTCCGGCCCCTGTCATTGTAATTTATATCTAGAATTTATATATAGAATCTGATTTTAGATTGATGCTGCTGTGGGTGCTCGTTACAACAGCGTGCATCGGCCTCAATGCCGCAGAAATCCCCCTAAAAAGCTCGAATCAAGATTGTCAACAAGCCGGCTTCGACGTCGATTCGCTGAAATGCCCGACGTGCGAGCAGATGCCCAAATTCGGATTGGCCGTCCTATACGATGAGTGCAAGCGGTGCTGCACCGATGAAGCGACCCCCGACGTCGAGAAGCACCACAAGGCCGTCATCGAGGTCAACGAATGGATTTTGCCCGATTACCCGCAGATCCAGTCGTTCGTGAAAGGAAATATGGAGAAGCGTTTCAACGAAAGGGTCGAGGTGAAGCGCGAAATGGTCCGACGCCCGCAAATCCGACTGCTAGACGCCGCTGGAAGGACGAAACAGCTTCTCAACATTTCCGCCTGGACAACTGATACACTAATCGAATTTTTGACACAAGCTGTGTAATAACTAATGTCAAAGTAGCAATAATTTGGATAATGAAGTGTGTTATACATTTTTTGGTTTTCCGTGGGATTTTTAGAAGTTTAGAAGCGTAATAAAAACAATAATTTAGAATCGAATTTTTGACACAAGCGGTGTAATAAGTAAGGTAAAATATGGCAATAATCAAAATCATGAATTGTGCTGAATATTTCTTTCGGTTTTCCCTAAATTTATAGACGCTTAGAAGCCTAATAAAGTCGATAATTTAGAATTGAATAGCTAGCTGCGTAATTGGTAATGTAATACGTTGCAATAATCGTGAATTGTGATGTGGCTCTGTTTTGGTTTTCCATGGAATTTATAGACATCTAGAAGCGTAATAAAAACAATAATTTAGATATGGATGTTCAACTAGGAACATTCGATATACATGGCGCTTCGATGGTTACAATCAATCTCAGCAAGAAAGCGCAGTACTTTGCCTCATCCCCGTTCGCTTCACAGCAACAAATTGCACGGTAGATCTGTCGTTTACGCAAGATTACCTGTTTTAGACGACTCCTCGCTAACAAGCAGCTTCCTGGGATTTTCGTCGCTCCGCTGAAGGATCTGGCAAAGCTTGCGATTATCGGGGAGAAGTATCTGATCGACCCGCCGTGCCCGGAAATGGAACGATTTTTGCTCCAGCATGATTTATCGGTATTTTTCTGGCCCTAAAATGTAGTGCTCGCCTAGCTCGACGGGACACAAGAACTCGACTACTTCACCCTGGAAGCGGCACTGAAATTTACGCTCTATGCTTGGATGGAGGCTGAAAAGTATGGAATTTTTTGGTAGAAATATATGCGTTTTAGTTGGCTGAAAGTCGGGGACAGCTTGATGCCCAACGCGATACTTGAGGAAATGCATGAAGCTCCGAATATAGGTAAAAAACGTTTGATACTATAAAGCTCCCCGTCTAGCCAGGATTGAGATGATTTTTATACAATTCGAACGTTCTCCAAAGGGGCAAAAACAAGCATTTCTAATTTTTTAAAGAACGTAACATCTTAAAGAAAACCCCTGTAATTTTTAGACGGGAAATCGGCAAGAAACATGCAGTCGCTAAACCAATTCATCCATACGTGTTGGCTGTCAAAACCGTCAATCAAATTCTTTCATCCACATTACTGAATGAAAGATATTTTCGTAAATTTAAAAATGTGGTTATTTGAACGCAGTTTATCTGTAAAACAAATTTAAGAAATTAAACGAAGTTTTCAAAAGCCTTTTTGTAAATCTCGATATTTTTCGATTGATACGGAAAACATCCAAATCGGGTCTTTTTCTGGCTAAAGAAATGCCTGTTTTATCTGTTTTTTTTTTACTTTTTTTTTGGATACCATGTATAATACTAGTATTTAGCTTTCAACTGCGTCTTCGACAGCTCCTCCGAAGTGCACGTCACGTTGAGCGCGAGCAACGTTCGGATTCACCGCTTTGAGCAAGGGATGCTGGACGTGAACATTGCCGAACGCTGGGTGTTCGTCTTGCCAAAGTCGGTAAATTTTTCGGGATTACACGGGCGGCTCGCAACTCTGCGATCTTTCCCAGCCACCTCAATATTTGCTTTTGGTTTCACGTCGCCACGCTGCTGCGAGACGTTGGCCTGGGGAACACTCGATTTTCGCGCATCTCGGCAGGATTCTGTTTGTCTTCGGAAAGACTAGGCTCTTTTTCCAAAGAATGGTCGACTTCCGATTTTAAGGGCGTTTTGGTGTAGCTACTGGTACTTTTTGGGTTCTTCTGCGTTAGCGGGGGGATAATTTTATACCTACCTTAGCGGAGCCGATAGTGAAATACAAACTTTTTTTAAAAATCCTTTTTTTCGAAGAAATTAGTTTTGGACAAAAAAAGTATGAAGAACGACTAAAAAATTAAAAAAGAATAAGATTTGAATAAATTAAATATCTTTTTATAGCCGTTTAATCCCCCAATCGCCGTTGCCTACGAAAACCCTCGAAAATCCCGACAACCGGATCCCAGATAGCATCTAGCACCTGGCTGGCCGGGCGGTAAGTCGAGTAAGGTTGAACTCGCGGGGGGCTGGCGCGAAAACCGAGGTTGGCATTGGCGAGGACCGGATGATGATGGCGCGGAGGGGGCACAAGAGCTGGGGTATTTGGAGAAGCGCAGGTTGGCCCGCCCCCCCTGTCCCTGCCGAAATTGCGCGGGAAGCCACCGGGCTAGGCGTGAATAGCCCCCCCTGCTCCTCCTCCTCGCCGCTGCCGCTTCTTCCATTTTGTTTACCGGCTTTTTCGGGGAGTTTTTTTTTGTTAGCATTGTATTGTCACGCCAAGTGAATTTAGGCTTAGCTTTTTTTGCTAGTTTTTTGAACCAGGAACATATTTTTAGCCTTCTAACCCATTTTATATTACCTTTTAGATTAAAAAAAATCTAAATCGTTTTTTCTAGGATTTACTTTGGCAGTCATGCTTTATTTTCGACAACAGCCGCGCCGTATGCAAACAAAGAAAGGTCCGCGCCTTTTTTTTCCTTCTTTTTTTCCTTTCGCGGTCAGGCTAGGTACTTGCGGGTTTTGGCGCTGTTTTTAGCCATGTCTATCTGTCTTACCTGCACGATTTTCGATGGCGATTTGGTTCTTTATACATTTTGCCCAAAAGTTCAGCTAGGCCTCATCACGTGGTCGAAATTGTTTTGCAATTTTTTTTGTGAAAATTTGGCTGTATTCCAAATGAAAAATATTTAGAAAACTTCGAAAAATGTTGAAAATTGGCCATTTTGAGGTGATAACCTAATGATTTTTGTCTTTTTTAATAGGCAAAAATTGTAATTTTATCTAAACAGTTGCTAAATTTAAATGGAAAAATTTGAGATTCGAGAAAATTTCCCCCCTCGCCGATAATGCAAAAGAACGATCCTGACCTCGGTATATTGGCTTACTTTTAAACGCACGTTCAGGTATTACTACGTATACACCTATTTACGCAAAGACTGCTGCAAAGAGCAGTGCTGATTTTCATAGGTGTCAACTCCCTGAACGTATTTTTGTAAAAAGAAGTAGTAAATCGGAGGTCTAGCTTGTGAGCCACAGCTGATGCTCATTATTCCAGCTTCTCACGAGCTGATGCTCGTTCCCTTGCTTATACTCCCCTCACTCAACCAGTTTTTTGCCCCCGGCCGGACCGACTCCTCTTGCCCACACAGGATGATCGATGCACTAGGGGTGTGTGTGGGCCCTAGCAGAGGAGAGGAGGAGGAGATGGCAGTGGTTGGAGAAGGAGAAGTAGCCCGTGCTCGGGGGCCCCTCAGGGAGCTTCTCCCCCATTCCTTCCGGCCGGGAGAGGGAGGGGGGAGGCGGTGCTCATTCTCGCTCTCCCCCCTTTGCCCTACCCAGCCACATCCCCGGCCATGGCCCACAACCCTAAAGCCCCTAGGCTCTTTTGGGGTATCTCTCCCTCTCTCTCTCTCTCTCTCTCTCTCTCTCTCTCTCTCTCTCTCTCTCTCTCGCTCTCTCTAGCTTTTTCTCTCCTATCCACACACATACACAAGGCCCCTCCTGGGCCATTGCTTCACTCGGGTTTAACCCCCCGGGCTTTTGAGTTCCACTTTAGCCTTGGCTGCATGCCATTTGGGTGACTCTGGTCACGCAGAAGTTCTTTTGTTTCGTAAGGTTTCATTGGATTTGGTCAGGGAAAAACCGGAAGTTGGGTTTAATTGGGGTTTAAGGCTTTGAAACACAGGTTAGCGAGCTGTTATATTTAATACAGCTACCTCCTTTAGGCGCAAAATTCGAAAAAGCATGTTCGGTTTTGG